AGGTAAATTGAGATCCTGCTAGTGTCATGTCCACTGTAGTTACCTCAGTGTAGTGCTGGCAAGTTTTTCCGTGAGTCTTGGAGTGCAGGCTGGCCTTGATGGCCTTGTGGCTGTGTCATGTGAAATTCTGCTTCAGGAGTGCTTCTTTGGTTCTGGAAAGTGTTTCTTTGGTACTGAGGCAGAAGAGCTCATGAGCCTCATGAAGTTTGCAGGAGTTGAGTGGACTTGAACTGTTCTTTGCCTTTTCTCTGCAATTTACTCTGAGCCTGGAGAGGTAAGAAGTGGCAGAGGAGAATAGATCACACAACCTTTTAATCAGCTGAAGCCTTCCTTGTGATGATTTAAATCTATTTTATACTGCAGTTATGTCAAAGGAGAATATACCCCGTACTGGTTACTATGAAAAAAATCAATTCTACCCCAGCCAAAACCAGCACACAGTGACTAACAAACCTTATTTTACTTTGTAAAATCCCAAATAATACTGGAAATCTAAAAATTTGTTAGGTTGAGAATTTACTTATGATGGAATCTCAGCTGGGATTGAAATGCTGTTTATTGAAATACTCTCCAGTAAAATCCTGTGCCGTATTACTGAGGGATGGATAACGTTGTTCCCATAGCTTCCTTGCTATGTGTAAAAATTAGATCAAGTGTACTGTGACAACTTCTTTATTATGAATGTTGTACAACTACTCACCATGAAGTATGTGAGGTAATGTTTTGCATTATTTTCAGTTGACCATATTTAGTGCAATTGCAATACTAATTTCCTGTAAAATAGCAGATATCTGAATAATGGGCCTTAATTACCATTAGAATGAGGTCATAAAGCAGAAAAGCATTGATAGTAGAGCAAATTATAAAACTACATCATGTAGAATGATCTCATTCTCCAGAATATAGAGCAACCAGCAATTAATGTGAATAAGAAATTCAGTTCTGTTGTGGCAGGAGGTCATTTCATGAAGGTGTTTATGATGTCTTTTCTGCAGATTTTCATGTTATGGCTGTGTTGCAGTTGGCAGCTGTGTGCTTCAGTAGCTGTGACACTGAGTAACGACAGAAAGCTCAGTTTTGGCCCCACACCTCTCTAGAGGTCAGTTAAACTGGAATGAGAGTTTTTGACTGGCTTCTCCCTGAGTGAGGGAACAGATGCAGAGTTCACATCTGACATTCTCTGAAACAAAAGCCAGTTTCAAATTTGCCTTGGAATCATGCTCCTCTCAAATATTTCTGGCATTTTTTCTTGGCTTTTTTTTTTTTTTTTTTCCCTTTTTTTAAAGTCAGTGAATCCCAGTGAATCCTTGTAACTAGACGGGAATACAGAAACAATGGTTTAGTTTCAGGACTGGCTACTAAGACTTTACACATTTTCATTTTGTGAGACTGTGTGTGTGACATGTCCACAATTGCTCTATTTAAGAGTTCCATTTTTGACTGCCTGGACAGCCTTTTCTTTCTTAAAACAGAAGGAAGCATAAGTGGGATTTTATTTTTCTATGTATGGTCATAACAGGAAGAGAGTAATTAAAGGCAGGCAGAATAAGTTTCTGTCTATTTAAGAAAACCCAAACCCAATTATTTTAATAGTGGAAACATTTGCTGGTTACTCATCATCAAATTGTAGTTATAAATAGGAGTTATACTGAATGCCAAAAGGAATCAGAGGCTCAAGAAGGATGGTAATTTTTGAAGCTGTAAGGAGCAAAGGAAAATTTGACAGTCATGACCACTGCATCCTCTGCAAAAATGTACTTCTTGTGCATTTATAATTGCTTTATTATTACATTAATAATGTTTTCTATTATAAAACTCTGTCTTAATTGGGTTTGTTGCCAGAGAGTGGCTTTTTTTTTTTTTTTTTCCAGTGGTTAGAACAAAACCTACTGAAGAGGTAAAAACTTCCTTCTTTCAGTTGGTTTTTACTATTATGAAGTGTGGCTTCCACTCTTGAGTTCTCTGTTATCAGCCCAGCTCCTGAGCTGTGCCACAAAGAACCGTAAGTCCTTCAATGGATTTTTTCAGAAAATGATATGGTTTAAACACTCTCTTGTTTTAAGAAGCAAATGAATTACTGGAAGTGGATACAAAGCTGGAATCCAAATACACACATAATTTCAGGTTATAGTTTATATGTTGCTGATAGTTACAAAGCATAATTGAAATTGCTTATTAGTAATTTGTTATTTACACTGCAGAGTTTTAATATGTTGTGTAAAGAAAGAATAAAAATAAGGTGGTAATGAAGAACTTGAGCCACATAACAAGAGACCTGAGTTGAGAGCGAAGTTATGAATGCCCATTAATTCAATATTGAATTTAGACACTAAAACTTTGAATATTGGTGGGTTTTTTCAGCTGGAATAATTTCTAAGTGAATGATTTCTCTCCTGCAACTTATTTGTGTTCCAACAATGATCAGATAAAAAAAATTAAGTGATGTATAAACAAATCTTGTTATGTTATGTGGAATAGATGCTTGTAGGTGCAGGATTAACTTAAGGACACAGCTCATCCTCAGGATCTGAAAGTAAGAAATAGTTGTGTGGCTCACTGTGAAGTGCCTGGAAAGAAAATCTTCTGACAGCAAACCTGTTCATCCACGTCTGTAAGCTGTGAGCCCAGAGCCCTCTGGTGTTGCTGTTGGTGTAACAAACATCAACCATCTACACCAGCACAGCTCAGGGTGACCTGCAGGTATTCTGACCTGTCATGAAAGACCTGCCAAGCCTATCACTTTCTCCCACCCAATCGCTTATTGACTCCAGTATTTTTCTATGTTTAAAAAAAAAAAAAAAAAAAAAAAAAAAAAAAAAAGGTAATTTGTTTTTGACAAAGATAAGTGGTATAATTTATCCTAGCTTTTAGGAAGGTTTACTTTTGAACTATTACCCAATCTGTGGTAGCAACAACTCAGAGCAAAGATTGGTCCTGTGTAAAGGAAAAATTAGGAAGAAGGTAAGTCTGCTCTACTACATCCATTGCAGTGCTCTGGTTTACATTTACTCCATATCTTGTTTCAAGATCTTTCATTTTGTCTTTCATGCCCAAAGCATGTTGTTCCCTGTCCTCCTTTTGAATCGAAGGTTCCCATCTGCTCTTTCCCAGCACTGGGGCTGCATCTGTGATAGAAATCCTTCCTTCTCCAAGGCAGGGTCTCCAGTACTTCCTCAGCCACAGACTTGGCGTGCCTCCATGATTTACCTTGGCTTATGTTCCCCTTGCTCCTGTCTCCCCATGCCAGGACTGAAGCCTGTCAGTGCCCTTGCTTCTATTTCTGTTTTTTCTTTCCTTCTTATGCCACCAAACTCTGCTGTCCCTGCTATTATCACCTGTCAGTCTTCCCATGTGCCAGTCTCCCCTTCTCTTTTTCCTCATTGTATTACTTTTTTCTCTTTCAGTGTATGAAATGGCTGGTGGTACAGACTTATTAAACACAGGGATCTCCAGGAAACAGAATATCTTCTGGGATGCTAAAATACAGGCTTTGTATGGGAAGACAACTAGTGATCTTGAAGCAACATCCAGGAAATCTGCCATTTCAGTAGGTTATGGTGGGCAAGAAGCTGTTGTGGACCAACAAAGCACATAATAATTAATTTTCTATTATAGACATTATTTCTCTTTTGCAGAATGAACAGGAGAATAACAATTTCCTAGCCTGCCTGGCAAGGCCAGAAAATCTGTTGCACACGGAATGGTCATGAATTCAGTAGTAGTGCTGCACTGGGAAGCCTGGTGGGTTAGCTGGGAAGGGAGGAACAGAGCAGTGTGCCACCTGCGGGCTTTGCTGGCCAGCAAAAGAGCCCAAGGCGTGGAAAAAACTAACAAATGTCAACAGGAAGCTGGGACGGAGCTCGGGATTTCTGCCAGCAGGAAGTCAAGTGGTGTTAGTGTTTCTCACGGAAAACTCAGTGTGGTTATTGTCCTGTAAAAGAAAAACACGTCTGACAGCAGCCTAAGCTGCTGCAGGGCCCCCTGTTCCTCCCGCTGTTGAGCCATCCAAACTGTAGGGTAGGAGAAAAGTTTAATAAAAAAACTTCAGCTTTTTACTGTTCCCTTTACAAATCCTAGAGCAGTTATTCGTAGGATGTTGCTTGGCATTACACAATGTACAGTCAGAGCTGTGGTGGCTGGTTCAAAGTACTCTGCTACTAAAGCTGAATAGTGTAAGAAAAAATGTCACAAATGCCAGAAGTTTATGTCCAAAAAGGAGACCGAGCAGTCCTGCAATTTTATTTGAGTAAAGGGAGAGAGACCACCAGAGAGACACCTGTGGCATGTTCTCAAAGTTTCAGAGGGTGCATCCTGTTTTTATCCTAAACTCCTGGCCACATGTTGCCCTCTTCCTTTCCGTATTGGCTGAGGCACCAGGAAGGTTCAGCCTTCCTGAACCGCCTACCACATATCCCACTTTGAACCTACTATTTTACCCTAAAATTCAGAAACTCAGGCTGTGCAGACCATTGTCTGTTTCAGGAGCAGAACTGCCTGGGCTCTGCAGCAAACCCGCTGCCCTAAGTCAGTAGAGACATTGAGCCCGCCCATTTCAAAGACCTTAACACTCACACCTTCACCCAGCAAATTGTTTGTAAACACATCAGCTTTCCTCTCAGTTGCAGCCTCATAGATTGACAACAGTGCAATTTCAGAAATTTATGTTGCAGTGGGCTCTAAAACATGAGACAGGCTGGTTTGAAATACTTTGGCTAGTTTATTCCAGTCAGGTAAAGAACTTTCAGGGCTGGGAAATATGGGCAGACTCAGAGAGTCTTGTGCTTGCTTTCTGAGAGTTCACTAAGTGACAGCAGCTGAGGTGATGTGCTGGGAACACTCCCAAGTGTTTGGTTTTGAGTGTTTTTCATTCAAAGCACTATCAAAGGCCTATAGTGGGTTAGGTACCACAGCCTGCATCGATTTTTAATCTGGACCTAAGTTTTATGGACCCAGCAACTCTCACGCAAGGGATTCACTGAAAAGTCAAAGCAGACATGCTGTAAAATGCTCAAAATTTATTAATCATAATTGCTTTTTTGTGTCATAAGGAACAAAAATAAAATAATATTCAAAAACAAAAGAAAATATACCATAGCCAGACAACACGACTGAGAGTAAGAAATGGGATATTAACATTAATTCTGAAAGAAATGACCCAATAAATCAGTTTTCAAAAAAAAAAAAAAAAAAAAAAGTAATAAATAGTAGTGGTCCAACTTCTTGAAGCTTCATAGGAAAGAATTTACAATTATTATTATTATTATTATTACTATTATTATTATTATACTTTTGTTTTAAAAAAATCCTTCATATGCCTCTGTTGGCAAATATATATATATTTATTTTGTAAACAGTTAACCACATAACAAAACAAAAATTAAAAAATCCGTATTTTCATACAGCTACTATGCTGATGGTGTTATGTAAACAAAAAGTAGTGTGCAGCAGCTTCTCACAATAGGATTTTTCCTTTTCCTCACAAAAATATGTGGGGAAATATGTCCATCATAAATTGTTCCGAATATTGAAGTTTAAAGTTTTGAAAAAATATGGCTTTCTGCCCTCTAAGTTTTCTTCAGCCAAAATAACCCAAAAATCATATAGAAGCAGAGGGGTACAGTTTTCCTTGGGTTTGGTTTGTTTTCTGGATTTGTCTTTTGATTTTTCTCGGTGAACTGAAATGAAAATGTTATTAAAAGTCCAGCACTTCTCAGAAGATAAATGAACAAAAATGTCAAGATGAACTTACACCTCTCAAGGTGAAAAACAAAAGACATAAAACCAATGGGAGATAGATTGATAATGAAAGCTGAAATTCTGTAGACAGACATACTGGGAGATTATGCAGAAAACATCATCTGTTCATCCAAAATTTTAGCTGCTCTTGACACTTTTGTATTTTTTGAAGTTTCTTTATTTAGTCTGATTATCAGCCCTTGTTTGAGGACTTCTCTCTAATTCTAATTTTTGACATTTGCTTGCTCCTGAGAAGTCTTTATCTGCTGTGTCTCCTGTTGGGTGTTGCCTTGGGTAATGCACTCAGCAGTCACACAGCTGCATTTCTCCACGTAGGTGTAGGAGTGATCCAGGGAGGTTCCATCACTGCACGTCAGAGTCACATTTCTCTTGCTGGTCTTGATTTCCTGACAACACGAGCATTTGTGCACCATCGTGTTTGTCGTCTGAGAATATCTGATAGAAAAACCAATGAGAAAGATTCAGAATTTATGTGAGAAATAATACTGCCCTCCCACCCATTACAAAACATAACCAGAAGTTTTGTTTTTGCGTGTGAGACTATTGCTCAGTATTAGCATTCTTACAGTACTGTGGTGAAATAAAGGTAAATTGCTCCTCATTGTAAAAATTTATGACTCTAAGTCTTCATTAAGGCACAGAAAAAGTACAGGATTATTCCAGATCACGCAGTGAGCCAGTCCAATGAGAGAATGATGAGAAACAAATAACCTCAGTTTTAAATGGGAAAAATCAAAATTTGGGTCTATTCACTATGACAGTGAACAGGCTGTGAAACTCGAGGTAATCAAGCTAGTACAATGCCATGTTAATTAGCACAATGGAAACAGTTGATGACTGGGTGGATGTTGGACACATCAGAAAAACCCTTGTGATTTGCTTGATGTAACTGGTGTAAAGAGTAGAAGACAAGAGGCTGCAATTATCTTTCATGCCACTTACCGTGAGTAAGCATCACAGCTGCCTTCACAGTATGTTATCTCAACAGGTGCAGGAGATACACAGCCATTGTAGTTGATGACAGTAGTCATATTGTGCTTCATACAAACTGAGGTCATCACAAAGCAAAGGAAAACATGTTAAAATGCATATGTATATAAATAGCTGTGTATGATACGACAGTTTGTAACTGAAAACTAAACTGGATGGAGCTGAAATAGGAAACTAAGTCACAAAGCATGTTTTTTTAATTGCTGAGGGCTAAATGAAGACTTGCTGATTTTGTTATCAGTGGATGAAACATTCCCTTTTTCTTAGGCAACTTGATTCAGAATGCAGAAATTAAGAGTAATACTGTGGCAACTGCTCAGTGCACATCCATCTCTCAGAACTGGCTTCATTTTCCCTCTTAAAGGGAATCTATCAATGGAAATTGGAGAGTAGTCATAGTCCTCATCCTCCCAGAAAAAGCCAGCATTTAACAGTAGGGGATGGGAAAGTTCACCATCTGTTTCACTAGGACCTAAAATGCATAGCGGAAATGTCCTATTCCTTTCTTTTCCACCTCTTTCCTTTTTCACTCCAGTGAAGCAGTGAACCCAAACCTGGTCAGTTCACCTTTTCTGTCTGTGTACCCATTGTGCAAAATGGGCTAATATACCTAATCAGGCACATATAATTAATACTTTTAACAAAATCATTATTACTTACGTTTTGGTACTCTTTGACACACTAAACAGCAGCCATCGTCAGATAACCTGATATCCTCCTTAAGTGGGAAAACAAAAAGATAACTCAGGTTTCATATCTGCATACTAAAGCAGACTTTCCCTGCTTCCTAATTTTCTCTGGCATCAGAGACTGTGTATATATTTGTATTGACAGGGAATCTAATTTCAAGCAAGGCTAAGTATTAAGGGCACATCACTACTTTAATATTAATAAGAGTTATTTGAAAGTTGAAATGGAGGAAACCCCTCAGTTTAGTAGTATAATTTCAGCAAGCAATAAAGCTCCTAGCACATGTAAGCCAAAATATTGTGACCAAAGTCAGTAAAGGCGAAGGATTATTACAGAGAGGGTAACACAATGAGTGAAATAAGTGACTTGCCAGAGGCTGATTTTTGCTTCTAGATCCCTTGACACTTTAAGGAATCTAAAATATTATGCTGTATCCTTTCCTCTAATGTCTGATCCTCAGTGAGGATTGAATTTTTTTTTAATTTTAATTTTTTAAATTTTAATTTTAATTTTTAGTTGCTTTTCTGAGATAAAATTTGACTGGGAGCAGGTTCAGAGAGGATAAAAAGAGAGCTACTTCCTGCATGATGCTTCTGCTAGTTATTTTCATTGGACACTGTGATCCTTCTATCACTGGTGTTAGGCACTGCAAACTTTCCAAAAATGAGAACTGGTAGAACAGTACTTACTGGATCACACTCATCATAGTTCAAGGCAGGACAGCTTGCCTCTTTGATGACTTGTATGAACTGGTCAGCATGTTTTTCACATGTGTAAACAGTACAGTTATCATCAGGTGGATTCCAGGTTTCTCCTTCCTAAAAGTAGTCAAAAATGAAAGTCAAATTAAAATATTATTATATAAAAATTAAACAAAAGCCCCCAATGTCTTATTTTTGCTGTGTATAGTAGTTGATTATTCCTAAAAACTTCCTTGAATTTCAGCTGGTAATTATTTGCCATATTATCATACTACTATTAAGTGGTTCTCATTAACCAAGTGAAGAGGCTCTGTTTTTATCTGGATATAGATGTGCTTTTTGTGTGAATAGGTAGGTACGTGGGCTCATTTGGAAAGAATAATTTGCATTTCAATGGTTTTGTCATTAGATTTTATGGATGTGTCAAAATACCTCCACAGATAAAATTATCCTTTGAGCAAAATGGGTGCTACAGTTTCAGAACTGGAGGCAAACAAAAGCCCATTGCTTTCACCTATGTATTTTCCTATGTTGATTTCTGAAAGCCATTTTTCAGTATCATATCACAGTTGTTTCCAGAGGTCTTAGAACTGATATTTTGTAGTGTGAGGTATTGTTTAGGCTGTGTAGAGATTGTCCAGCCCCTGCCTGAGTAAGCATTTGTCTGAGAAAAGATGGAGGAAATAAATGTGACAAATACAAGGAGAGGAAAGAGTGAAAAGACTAGCAGAGTTCCCCAAAAGTGAACTCAGCCAGAGGTAATTACATGGAGCACGTGTGTAACGTTGTCTCCCAGAGTCACTACACACGCCGCTGCCTTGCACGTGCCACAGCACTGTCCGGGTTCCACTGTGTATTTATAGCCCTGTTTTGAAAGGAATAGAGAGACAATGGCATTAAGTCAGGTCACTGACCTGGGCTGGTGGTTACTGGAGCTGAGTGGGGTAGGAATTTCTGGCAGCAGAAGAGCACTCACCAGTGGGCAGTATGTGTCACAGATAACAGGCTGGCACGTCACCGTAAGGTGGTGAGGCCTCGAGGGAGAGGATGCAGAGCAGGTGCATTCTTCACAGGGACCTGATGGAATGTCAGCTCCAGGCTAGGGGAAGTTGGAAAAATCCATTATTAGTCAGTTAAAACAGGTTGCTCTGTGTATACACATCACAGAAAATACAAAGATGAACTATGTATAGTCTGAGCTATCCATAAATACAATTTTGGTTGTTTTATTTACGCAGTTTCTGGTTTGGTAATATCAATTTTGGAATCAAATTCTGCTAATGTAGAAAGGAGAGAGCAGAACATGATTTTGCTTGTAGAGAGGGTGTTAACCTCAGTGAAATAATGAAGAATGTTTTATCTCAGGCCTTCCTACAAAACATAGGCCATGATAGGTGTCTCAAAAACACTATACCAGGAGCTATGTGAGGGTATATTTTAATAGAGTAACTCTGTGTACTTACTGCATAATAGGTTTCGTTGACTACACAGCCCTGTCCTGTAAAGAAGGAAAAAGGAGGTGTAAGTTTTAGGAGGCAGAAATGCATGAAAAAACTTCTGTTTCATAGTTTTGTAGGCCCATTTCATAAGTCTGTGGCAGCAGCCTTAAAACACTCATTCACAACAAGGCCCAATATGATACCAGAGATAACTTGCATCTCTCTTATAAGGTTTTTGTAACTTAGAAAAACTACAGCAGTAAATAGTACATAAGGGGGGGTGCACGATACTTACTGCATTCAAAGATAGGACAGCAGTTTCCAGGTGGCATTATTGTGATTATTTCCTGCCCCTCTAAGCACTGGGGTGTGATGTCAGCACAGAGGCTTGTGTTACAGTCTGTCTCATGTAAGAGAATAAAGAAAATAATAAGCTCAGAATTTTTGAATTAAAGCAATTTTGTTTTACATGAACTTCTGAAGTCTTCCCATGGGGTAGATATGGTGTTTACAAAAGATAGTCTAATGACTAATTCAGTCTATGTGCCAAGGTGTTTTCAATGTGATTGGGCTTTCCCATAATCTTTGTAAAACAAAACACTGAGAAGAACAGAGTAGTAATTGCTGGAAAAAGATAACTTCAAAGAGAAATTTGTACCAATGGGGAAATCTGATGACTCTCTGGTTTGAAAACTGGTTCTGGAACTTTCCTGAGTAATTTTTAAATAGTCAGGACTATTTTTTAAAGTTAATTTTCTTAATACTGATCTTTGAAATTGAAAAGGTTTTAAATGGTTTTTGAATATTGTTTCAGATAGTGTAGTCTTCCAATATTAAATTATAGAAGATTTTCAGTTACTTTTCTATGTCTGACAACATAAAATTTTTTAATGTTTACATTTGTTATCTTCAGGCATTTACTGTATGCTCTGCAAGAAGGCTCTAAAAAGCGGGATGAGAGAGAAAAGCATTATGACATCAATGCAAAGTATTAAAAGATGTGAAATGATTGCTGTAGTTCCCTAAAATTAATATATTAAATATTGCCCATGATAAAGAACTAAGACAGTACTCACAGCACTCAGTCCTAGTACAGCATGGATCTTCTGGTATCGGTATCTGAACAGGCATGTAACCTGGTCCTTCACAAAATACTTGCTGTGTCAGAGAACATTCGTGCTTTGTACACTTCACCTGAAGAGTGTTTTTGTCACAGACACATTCTCGGCAATCTTTTGTCCATTTTTCTCCTGGCTAAATAAAAAAGCAAAACACAGACAAGGGGAAGAAAAAAATTAAATATAAATATAAACCAAAATAATTTTATTTGCTTCTAGTTAACATGTTCATATAGGCATATAGTAATAACTGATTATATCAGCTTTTTCATATTTCACATTTTATAGGAGAACCTCAAACTGCTTATTTGGGGAAGACACTGGAGGCCAGGTTCTAAGTTCACAAAGCTATTACTTTATATTTGTTAACAGTGTTAGCATGAGGGTTACAGGAGTTCTAAAGGAGAAGCGATGCAGCTTCACATCCATTTTTAAATAAAAAATTCTATGACATACTTATTTTCACATTAGGTTGCCGATTTCTGTGCAGCTGAGGAACTAATAATGCAAGACATGAACATGATAAGCAGCAGGTAAACTCTGTTATCCATCTCTCCCTTCATTTCTAGTCATTTTAGCTAGCCAAATTTGTGGAAATAAAATAAGCATATATGCCTAACTTCCACTACTACCATCTCTCTCTTTCTCTCCTTTTTTTTTAAGTTTTTTTCCCCCTGTATGTGAGGTTATTGAAAGAATATTTTATCACTTATTGTTAAATTTCTTAGAGGTGCTCTAGTACTCATTATTTTTAAGACTGAAAGTGCACAAACATTTGTGACAAAGTTTTTGCTTCAGTGGAACACTAAATATCATCTTGTTTCACTTGTCTGTGCTCTTTAAGCCATACTCATTGTGATACTCACCCTTCTGGACATTCCATTTTGTTCTCTGCAGACTGGAAAGAAATAGAAAAAACAGACAAACAAATGAATGGGTATTTACACCAATGAAAACTGACAAAGGAGTACACACGTGCAGTTTCAAATAAAAATACTGTGAAGATAAAGCTAACAAGAAAATTAATATGCAGACTAATTTTGCTGAACTGTAGAATTCTACCATCTTGCTGGTTAAGGATAATGGGAAAAAATAATGGGAAAAAAGGGCAATATTGATTATGATTCAGTTTGTAATTAGGGACACTAAGGGAGGCTGATTTACAATGATCTGACTGTGTAGAAGATGACTACAGAAGTCAGGCCTCCTGACTAATAATTCCCATCATTATTTATTTCCCAAATTAGCTACAGATGACTTACAACATTCAGAGACACAGATGTTGCTCTCTGCACGCAAGAGTGTCATTCCTTCAGGACAGAAACAGCCTTCAGTTACTCCATAGCCAGGACGCTCATAGCTGGAATGGGAAGAATATATGTGTTTGAGTACAATATTTTTGTGGTGAGGCAGAGGGCAGAGCAGTGTATCATGTCAGATAAAAGAGACAAAAAATGTACACTTTCTGAAGGGCAATAGGAAGCATGTGTTCCTAGAGCTGATTGGTATTTATAAATCTTGAATAAGTTAGTGAAATTCATAACACATTTTATTGTGAAATAACTCAAATTTCTGAGGAAAGTAGATAGATAAGAAAAATATAAGCAGGTGCTTAAGGGTGGGGTTTTTTTATTTTGTTTTCCAATACCTTTGGTCACAGGTAACTGGATTAATGGGCCCGCAAGGCTTGTATACCGTGCTTGATGGACAGCTGAATGCTATATGAAAAAAGACAAAAAAAAAAAAAATTAAAAATTGACAGTAGATGCATTTTTTTTTCCAGAAAAAAATTACTACAGCTTTGCCTTCTTCATCTGCAGCTTCTGTGAGAAAGAACCCCACTGGATTTTTGTAGACAGTAACCAAGTATCAGATATAAGACGTGTTTAGTGACTAAAACACTAATTTCTACCATTTATCACACATATTTTGAGTTCTGCAATACTTACAACATGTATTGTTAGTCATTCCTCTCCAGTCAATGCAGACACCTCTAGCAGCACACTCTGTAGCATATATCTCCAAACTGGAACACTGCATGGATTCATCGTCTATGCGACATCCATCAAAAACACAGCCTTTGAAAAATGGTTCTGGTGGTATCACTGTGTGACATTCTGCAAAAACCCTGCAGACAGTAAAGAAAGCAACCCCCTTCTATATCAATGAGCCGTTATACAAAATCTGTTTCTGTCAGAAAACACTTTCCAGTTAATAGCATGTGACTCTGCTTCAGAAAAGAAGGCATTATGAGAAACAAAACCCTAGGAATGGCCAGTAAGCTGGGAGATACATTCAGGAAAGATTAAGAAATCTGAAGGGCATTTTTTTTCTAAAGATGTTAACAGACGTAGTATTTCTATATGTGTACACAACCTTTTAGTGGTTTGAGACCAGAAATTTAGTGTAAAAGGCAACTGCACCAGATTGAGAAAAAAAAAAAAGAATGAAAAAAAAGTAGCAATGGAAAATTTACACATAAAGTAGCTCCAAACTTACTAGATACTACAGAAAAGATGTATAAGAGGCCTTCTATAAATAACCTTGTCCGCCTACACAGGTATAGGACATACTTCAAGAAACAAGCCTTTGTGCTTTTGGAGCTCCGTATTTTAGGTAAAATGTACAAAGAATGAAGGATATTTCTCAGCTGTTTGCGTCTGCTCTCTTCACCTGTTTGGTAACTGGGTTCTCTGTATTTGTACTGAGGACCCACTTCAAATTTAGAGTTCAGTCTTTGCTTAATACTTAATGAACAAACTCGGGAAGTATTGCATCCAGGGAGTATTGATTTTAGTGCTTGCTGCATCCCTGATTTTCTGACTTTACCTCTACTTGCTCAGTTATCTTTGGTATGCAAATCATTAAGGCAGACTAGTTTCTTTTGCAGAGGCCTTTTACTATTTATATTCTGTCATTAAGCTGACATTTTCAGCTATTATCACATGCTAAATCTATAGCTGTTATTCTTCTTATAAGATACTGAGACAGTTGTGTCTAGAAGAAATTAATTTGTTTTCTTACTCGCTCAAGATAAGCTTGCAGAGCGCAGGCGTTTGACATTGCGGCTTTGGTGGAGGTGTGGTTATAGCTGGTGGTATTGGTATTCCATGGCACGATTTGTTGTTGTCGACAATCCAGTGATGAGCCATTTGGGGGCAGGAGGAAATGATCTTACCACTTGGTAAGCGGCATTCATCTTCTTTATTGTTTGTACATGTTCCTGGAAGAGACAAGCTGGGTAAGTCTCATAAGCCATGTCAGAGATGCACAATACATTCCTGGGCTGATATATTTGGTGTGATATGCTCATGAAATACATATTTTGCCTTGCTTCCTAGGGAGCACTTTCTCTAGTTACATGAACTTTAGGTTATAGAAAAACAAATAGATGTAAAACCCCAGCCCCAAAGAAATATTGAGCTTTTGACATCCTACAGAAGTTGAAGAGCAGAACTGTACTCATTTCCATTTACTGCTGTTTAAAAATCTCTGTTAATTGTAAGACTGCATAGCCAGAGTGGGTGAGAATAACCAAGGCAGGGGTGGGGAAAGAGTACCCCCTCCAATCTATCCAGCCTTCTTACCACATTGTCCTTCAGTGTTGTTGCCAAATTTGCTGTATGGGAGCTTGACAGAGAAAATCAGACCACTAAAGGTGATGACAGCACCAATTTCTTCTATTTCAACAATCATATTGATGCCAAGAGTGGAGAAAGAAATGCCATCTTTTTTGAAGCCGGGTCCAACAATCTTTTTGTTGAAGTACATCTGAATGCAGGGTTAAAAAAAAAAAGCCAAAACAAAACAGCATGTCAGAATAAGCACTGCTTCTGCCTGATTGTTTTAAATATATGTGCTAATCTTCATAATTATGCATAACTCCATACTATTGTTCATCACATCCAGTGCTGATTGGCATCCTAATGACAGCATATAATTGCATTGATATCTTGGCTTGTATTGCTATATTGCTAGAATGTGATACTAATCTAAGTGGCCTCTACATACTGTGTTTGTGCTGATTGTATGCTAATACAAAGTATTCTATGCATATAAATCCAAGTATTTTCATTGTATCCCTCATGATTATGTGCCTTGGAAACATTTTTCACATGAAAATGAGTGGTAGTTTCCTTTAGCTACAGAAACATCCCTGTCATTATTATGTAATAACTTTGTGAGATAATCACACCATCTTTATATTACATAGTAATTGACATTGGAAGAATTGTCTGAATTCAAAACGAAGTCAGATGCCCTTAGTGCCAGTTTTATGTAGTAGTGATAATATTTATTTGTTAAACTTTTCAACTTGTAGCCAGTATCTTATATGAGTTAATAAAGGTAAACTTATTTGCCTAATAAGTTGTCAGAAGTTATTCTGCAACCCTCTTCTCACTGAATCAGGCTAAAGCATGAGTTAAAATCGTCAGTTATGTTTTCTTTCACAGGGAACCAATGTATGTTTCTGACTGAGAATGTGGCATGGCACTATAAGGCGGGAATGCCTATTCAGACAAACTTTTCTCCCTTTCTATAGATTCTCTAATCAACTAATAGATTCTCCAGTGTAAGAGTGGGACTATCTTTTCATTTTCATCCAGCAGATAAGGGATACGTATTCATCCTTCCCCCAGGAGAAGACTCCTGCTTGCAATTTGCATTTGTATTTCTTCAAAGTGTGCATGTTTACATAAGTGTATGGCACAATGTACCAGTTTTCACGAAATATTGATTTTGTTCTTAGCATCCAGTGCAATCTTTTTTTCCCCTAGTAATACTCTCTGCCCTCATACCTCCATGATGTGATGTTCTAACAGACTGTACCTCAAAAAAGCATCAGTAAGGCTTATGAACACTATTTCTTTCTTGCAAAAAAAGAAAAAATATTTACCACATTGGTCATCACACCATTCATGAGTTGACGAGTCAGCACCACTTCTGCAGATTTGTAGAAAATAATAATGGATTTAGGGCAGGAGAGTCCATCTTTTGCATCGCAGTAATAATTGTCAATGTAAACACGGAAGTTGTCATATCTAGGGACAATCTGTTTCACCAAGACGTAAGTGCAATTTTCAAGGAAGGTATAATAGGTTCCATCAAAAGTAATGTAATGAGGATCACCCCATCCACTACACACACCTGGTACAGAGAAAATATTTGGAAGATGAAAATGAGAATTTAGGTAGAAGAAAATTAAAAAACAGGAGATACTGCAATTTATAGAGCAACCCTAAGAAATGAAAATGCCCATATAATCTTGGCTTTTTTTTTTTCTTCTAAAAAATGTTATTCCTGAATGTATTGATGCTTACATTGACACTCATATCGATAACAGCATCCATTTTCATCAGGTACCAGCATTGGTGGGTATTTGTTTGCACAGGTAATTTTCTTTACAGGTGGGCAGTACGTTGGTACTACATCTATACTGTTGTCTCCATTACAGATGACTTCTGTACAGTTGGATAATTTGAATCTTTCTCCAGGCTGCAAAATGAAGAAAAAGGTTTTTTCACAAAACTCTGTAAACAGGAATAAACTTTACTCCTCTTTTTAGATTTATGCTATGATGTTCCCAGTAATGGTGGTGTTGGAAAGAAAATTAGTATGTGTTACTTGTATTCAATTTGTGGTATTAATGATTTTAAATGGCAACTAGAGGTATTCAAAATTCTGACTATGTTATGGGGGATAAACAACACTAACTTTTCTGAAACTAAAACAAAGACTAAAAATAAAAATTTCACTGAGAGTAAAAGTTGTCAATATTCTACAGGATTAACTTTTTTTAATGCTGAAAGGAGGTGGAAGCCTTAACTACACTTGTTTCTTCTGCATGAGCTCTTCCAGAGTTTAGGGGACATGTATTAGGTTACAGGAATTTATTTCCTCTATTCTGTGTATAGCATACCGCAAGGTCAACAGAGAACATAAAAATAAAATAAGTTTAAAGGAGTATAGATAAAATGGCAGGAGAACGGAAATAGATACAAGCCTTTACTGTATCTTAAATATTTCCCTTTAGTGGAAAAAGAGCATACATAAGAAAACTCCCTCTACTATGTCAGTGAGAAGATACCTTGCATATACAATGTGCCAAAAACTTTTACTAAAAATAAAGTAACAAGAAAAGGCTATAGTCACTTATTCAGCAATATAAAAACTGAAATTCAGAAAAAAAAAAAATTCAAATATTATGCCCTATATACTGCCCATCACTAGCAAAATAATTGAAATCAGCACATGTAAGGTATAAAGACTACAAACTCTTCCAATCACGTACCACCCAATAAATTATATTATTTCAACAGTGAAAAAAACCCATAGAAATCACATACTTCTAATGGAGGGTAAGTAGAGGAAACACAACCATGAAAAACAGCACTTGTAGAGGTGGGAGGCAGAGGAACTGATGTGGTTATTGTAGACCACTCAGAGGAAGTGGTGGCTGGAAGAGTAGTGACAGGACAATGTACACTGTGTCGTTCAATATTACATGTAGGGCTACAGATAGCATAAAATCGACATCCTTCACTATCCACCCTGTTGTAAATCAAGTCACCTGCAGAAAAATAAACAAAGATATATAAAGCAACAACAACAAAAAAACCCGACAGCAAACAACAGAAAAAAAGGTTAATAAACAAAAAATGTGAGCAAAAAAAAAAAAAAAAAAAAAAGGTAAAAATAACAAACAAAAAAACAGGAAAAAAAAAACCACACTAACCAGGGGAAAAAATAGCATCACCAATCTTGCAGAAACATGGAGTAGTTGAAATCGGAGGAGGAGGTGTTGTAAAGAAGGCTTCACTAAGGGTAGTAAGAGTTGATGTGCTGGTAGTAGGTGAAACGGTGGAGAATGGGCAGTTGAAGTTGGGGGTGCAGCAGAGCACGCGGATCTTGTAGTTGAGGCACATCTTGAATTTGCCCGTCTGGTCCTCGTTCTTGCACACCAGTCCAAAGTGGACGTCGCACTGCACGACCTGCCCCACCTGCTGGATGGCGACGTCAGGGTAGTCCTCCGCCTGGCACTCGATCTGCTTTGGCTGCCGGCAGATTCGCTTGCCGGCGGCGCGGATGTGCTGGTAGGTTTCGAAGTCTCCCTGGTTGGGCCCCGAGGAGGGGAAGTCGACGTCAAACCATTCGCTCCAGGTGCAGATTTCGGGTTCACAGGGGGTGGTGGAGGAAGTTGTGGTAGACGTCGTCGGCGTGGGGCTGGTGGTGCTGGTGGAAGTGCTGATTTCTGTGGAACTGTAGGGCGTGGAGGTGGAGGTGGTGACAGTGGTGGTTGATGGGATGGTTGTGGTCGTGGTGCTGGTGGTGGGGCTGGTTGTTATCACGGGGATTGGGATTGAGCAGTTGTAGTTGGGGGTGCAGCAGAGCACGCGGATCTTGTAGTTGAGGCACATCTTGAATTTGCCCGTCTGGTCCTCGTTCTTGCACACCAGTCCAAAGTGGACGTCGCACTGCACGACCTGCCCCACCTGCTGGATGGCGACGTCAGGGTAGTCCTCCGCCTGGCACTCGATCTGCTTTGGCTGCCGGCAGATTCGCTTGCCGGCGGCGCGGATGTGCTGGTAGGTTTCGAAGTCTCCCTGGTTGGGCCCCGAGGAGGGGAAGTCGACGTCAAACCATTCGCTCCAGGTGCAGATTTCGGGTTCACAGGGGGTGGTGGAGGAAGTTGTGGTAGACGTTGTCGGCATGGGGCTGGTGGTGCTGGTGGAAGTGCTGATTTCTGTGGAACTGTAGGGCGTGGAGGTGGAGGTGGTGACAGTGGTGGTTGATGGGATGGTTGTGGTCGTGGTGCTGGTGGTGGGGCTGGTTGTTATCACGGGGATTGGGATTGAGCAGTTGTAGTTGGGGGTGCAGCAGAGCACGCGGATCTTGTAGTTGAGGCACATCTTGAATTTGCCCGTCTGGTCCTCGTTCTTACACACCAGTCCAAAGTGGACGTCGCACTGCACGACCTGCCCCACCTGCTGGATGGCGACGTCAGGGTAGTCCTCCGCCTGGCACTCGATCTGCTTTGGCTGCCGGCAGATTCGCTTGCCGGCGGCGCGGATGTGCTGGTAGGTTTCGAAGTCTCCCTGGTTGGGCCCCGAGGAGGGGAAGTCGACGTCAAACCATTCGCTCCAGGTGCAGATTTCGGGTTCACAGGGGGTGGTGGAGGAAGTTGTGGTAGACGTTGTCGGCGTGGGGCTGGTGGTGCTGGTGGAAGTGCTGATTTCTGTGGAACTGTAGGGTGTGGAGGTGGAGGTGGTGACAGTGGTGGTTGATGGGATGGTTGTGGTCGTGGTGCTGGTGGTGGGGCTGATTGTTATCACGGGGATTGGGATTGAGCAGTTGTAGTTGGGGGTGCAGCAGAGCACGCGGATCTTGTAGTTGAGGCACATCTTGAATTTGCCCGTCTGGTCCTCGTTCTTGCACACCAGTCCAAAGTGGACGTCGCACTGCACGACCTGCCCCACCTGCTGGATGGCAACGTCAGGGTAGTCCTCCGCCTGGCACTCGATCTGCTTTGGCTGCCGGCAGATTCGCTTGCCGGCGGCGCGGATGTGCTGGTAGGTTTCGAAGTCTCCCTGGTTGGGCCCCGAGGAGGGGAAGTCGACGTCAAACCATTCGCTCCAGATGCAGATTTCGGGTTCACAGGGGGTGGTGGAGGAAGTTGTGGTAGACGTCGTCGGCGTAGTGCTGGTGGAAGTGCTGATTTCCGTGGAGGTGGGACTCGTGGTAGTGGAGATGTAGGGCGTGGAGGTGGAGGTGGTGACAGTGGTGGTTGATGGGATGGTTGTGGTCGTGGTGCTGGTGGTGGGGCTGATTGTTATCACGGGGATTGGGATTGAGCAGTTGTAGTTGGGGGTGCAGCAGAGCACGCGGATCTTGTAGTTGAGGCACATCTTGAATTTGCCCGTCTGGTCCTCGTTCTTGCACACCAGTCCAAAGTGGACGTCGCACTGCACGACCTGCCCCACCTGCTGGATGGCGACGTCAGGGTAGTCCTCCGCCTGGCACTCGATCTGCTTTGGCTGCCAGCAGATTCGCTTGCCGGCGGCGCGGATGTGCTGGTAGGTTTCGAAGTCTCCCTGGTTGGGCCCCGAGGAGGGGAAGTCGACGTCAAACCATTCGCTCCAGGTGCAGATTTCGGGTTCACAGGGGGTGGTGGAGGAAGTTGTGGTAGACGTCGTCGGCGTGGGGCTGGTGGTGCTGGTGGAAGTGCTGATTTCTGTGGAACTGTAGGGCGTGGAGGTGGAGGTGGTGACAGTGGTGGTTGATGGGATGGTTGTGGTCGTGGTGCTGGTGGTGGGGCTGGTTGTTATCACGGGGATTGGGATTGAGCAGTTGTAGTTGGGGGTGCAGCAGAGCACGCGGATCTTGTAGTTGAGGCACATCTTGAATTTGCCCGTCTGGTCCTCGTTCTTGCACACCAGTCCAAAGTGGACGTCGCACTGCACGACCTGCCCCACCTGCTGGATGGCGACGTCAGGGTAGTCCTCCGCCTGGCACTCGATCTGCTTTGGCTGCCGGCAGATTCGCTTGCCGGCGGCGCGGATGTGCTGGTAGGTTTCGAAGTCTCCCTGGTTGGGCCCCGAGGAGGGGAAGTCGACGTCAAACCATTCGCTCCAGGTGCAGATTTCGGGTTCACAGGGGGTGGTGGAGGAAGTTGTGGTAGATGTTGTCGGCGTGGGGCTGGTGGTGCTGGTGGAAGTGCTGATTTCTGTGGAACTGTAGGGCGTGGAGGTGGAGGTGGTGACAGTGGTGGTTGATGGGATGGTTGTGGTCGTGGTGCTGGTGGTGGGGCTGGTTGTTATCACGGGGATTGGGATTGAGCAGTTGTAGTTGGGGGTGCAGCAGAGCACGCGGATCTTGTAGTTGAGGCACATCTTGAATTTGCCCGTCTGGTCCTCGTTCTTACACACCAGTCCAAAGTGGACGTCGCACTGCACGACCTGCCCCACCTGCTGGATGGCGACGTCAGGGTAGTCCTCCGCCTGGCACTCGATCTGCTTTGGCTGCCGGCAGATTCGCTTGCCGGCGGCGCGGATGTGCTGGTAGGTTTCGAAGTCTCCCTGGTTGGGCCCCGAGGAGGGGAAGTCGACGTCAAACCATTCGCTCCAGGTGCAGATTTCGGGTTCACAGGGGGTGGTGGAGGAAGTTGTGGTAGACGTTGTCGGCGTGGGGCTGGTGGTGCTGGTGGAAGTGCTGATTTCTGTGGAACTGTAGGGCGTGGAGGTGGAGGTGGTGACAGTGGTGGTTGATGGGATGGTTGTGGTCGTGGTGCTGGTGGTGGGGCTGGTTGTTATCACGGGGATTGGGATTGAGCAGTTGTAGTTGGGGGTGCAGCAGAGCACGCGGATCTTGTAGTTGAGGCACATCTTGAATTTGCCCGTCTGGTCCTCGTTCTTACACACCAGTCCAAAGTGGACGTCGCACTGCACGACCTGCCCCACCTGCTGGATGGCGACGTCAGGGTAGTCCTCCGCCTGGCACTCGATCTGCTTTGGCTGCCGGCAGATTCGCTTGCCGGCGGCGCGGATGTGCTGGTAGGTTTCGAAGTCTCCCTGGTTGGGCCCCGAGGAGGGGAAGTCGACGTCAAACCATTCGCTCCAGGTGCAGATTTCGGGTTCACAGGGGGTGGTGGAGGAAGTTGTGGTAGACGTTGTCGGCGTGGGGCTGGTGGTGCTGGTGGAAGTGCTGATTTCTGTGGAACTGTAGGGTGTGGAGGTGGAGGTGGTGACAGTGGTGGTTGATGGGATGGTTGTGGTCGTGGTGCTGGTGGTGGGGCTGATTGTTATCACGGGGATTGGGATTGAGCAGTTGTAGTTGGGGGTGCAGCAGAGCACGCGGATCTTGTAGTTGAGGCACATCTTGAATTTGCCCGTCTGGTCCTCGTTCTTGCACACCAGTCCAAAGTGGACGTCGCACTGCACGACCTGCCCCACCTGCTGGATGGCAACGTCAGGGTAGTCCTCCGCCTGGCACTCGATCTGCTTTGGCTGCCGGCAGATTCGCTTGCCGGCGGCGCGGATGTGCTGGTAGGTTTCGAAGTCTCCCTGGTTGGGCCCCGAGGAGGGGAAGTCGACGTCAAACCATTCGCTCCAGATGCAGATTTCGGGTTCACAGGGGGTGGTGGAGGAAGTTGTGGTAGACGTCGTCGGCGTAGTGCTGGTGGAAGTGCTGATTTCCGTGGAGGTGGGACTCGTGGTAGTGGAGATGTAGGGCGTGGAGGTGGAGGTGGTGACAGTGGTGGTTGATGGGATGGTTGTGGTCGTGGTGCTGGTGGTGGGGCTGATTGTTATCACGGGGATTGGGATTGAGCAGTTGTAGTTGGGGGTGCAGCAGAGCACGCGGATCTTGTAGTTGAGGCACATCTTGAATTTGCCCGTCTGGTCCTCGTTCTTGCACACCAGTCCAAAGTGGACGTCGCACTGCACGACCTGCCCCACCTGCTGGATGGCGACGTCAGGGTAGTCCTCCGCCTGGCACTCGATCTGCTTTGGCTGCCAGCAGATTCGCTTGCCGGCGGCGCGGATGTGCTGGTAGGTTTCGAAGTCTCCCTGGTTGGGCCCCGAGGAGGGGAAGTCGACGTCAAACCATTCGCTCCAGGTGCAGATTTCGGGTTCACAGGGGGTGGTGGAGGAAGTTGTGGTAGACGTCGTCGGCGTGGGGCTGGTGGTGCTGGTGGAAGTGCTGATTTCTGTGGAACTGTAGGGCGTGGAGGTGGAGGTGGTGACAGTGGTGGTTGATGGGATGGTTGTGGTCGTGGTGCTGGTGGTGGGGCTGGTTGTTATCACGGGGATTGGGATTGAGCAGTTGTAGTTGGGGGTGCAGCAGAGCACGCGGATCTTGTAGTTGAGGCACATCTTGAATTTGCCCGTCTGGTCCTCGTTCTTGCACACCAGTCCAAAGTGGACGTCGCACTGCACGACCTGCCCCACCTGCTGGATGGCGACGTCAGGGTAGTCCTCCGCCTGGCACTCGATCTGCTTTGGCTGCCGGCAGATTCGCTTGCCGGCGGCGCGGATGTGCTGGTAGGTTTCGAAGTCTCCCTGGTTGGGCCCCGAGGAGGGGAAGTCGACGTCAAACCATTCGCTCCAGGTGCAGATTTCGGGTTCACAGGGGGTGGTGGAGGAAGTTGTGGTAGATGTTGTCGGCGTGGGGCTGGTGGTGCTGGTGGAAGTGCTGATTTCTGTGGAACTGTAGGGCGTGGAGGTGGAGGTGGTGACAGTGGTGGTTGATGGGATGGTTGTGGTCGTGGTGCTGGTGGTGGGGCTGGTTGTTATCACGGGGATTGGGATTGAGCAGTTGTAGTTGGGGGTGCAGCAGAGCACGCGGATCTTGTAGTTGAGGCACATCTTGAATTTGCCCGTCTGGTCCTCGTTCTTACACACCAGTCCAAAGTGGACGTCGCACTGCACGACCTGCCCCACCTGCTGGATGGCGACGTCAGGGTAGTCCTCCGCCTGGCACTCGATCTGCTTTGGCTGCCGGCAGATTCGCTTGCCGGCGGCGCGGATGTGCTGGTAGGTTTCGAAGTCTCCCTGGTTGGGCCCCGAGGAGGGGAAGTCGACGTCAAACCATTCGCTCCAGGTGCAGATTTCGGGTTCACAGGGGGTGGTGGAGGAAGTTGTGGTAGACGTTGTCGGCGTGGGGCTGGTGGTGCTGGTGGAAGTGCTGATTTCTGTGGAACTGTAGGGCGTGGAGGTGGAGGTGGTGACAGTGGTGGTTGATGGGATGGTTGTGGTCGTGGTGCTGGTGGTGGGGCTGATTGTTATCACGGGGATTGGGATTGAGCAGTTGTAGTTGGGGGTGCAGCAGAGCACGCGGATCTTGTAGTTGAGGCACATCTTGAATTTGCCCGTCTGGTCCTCGTTCTTGCACACCAGTCCAAAGTGGACGTCGCACTGCACGACCTGCCCCACCTGCTGGATGGCGACGTCAGGGTAGTCCTCCGCCTGGCACTCGATCTGCTTTGGCTGCCGGCAGATTCGCTTGCCGGCGGCGCGGATGTGCTGGTAGGTTTCGAAGTCTCCCTGGTTGGGCCCCGAGGAGGGGAAGTCGACGTCAAACCATTCGCTCCAGGTGCAGATTTCGGGTTCACAGGGGGTGGTGGAGGAAGTTGTGGTAGACGTCGTCGGCGTGGGGCTGGTGCTGCTGGTGGAAGTGCTGATTTCAGTGGAACTGTAGGGCGTGGAGGTGGAGGTGGTGACAGTGGTGGTTGATGGGATGGTTGTGGTCGTGGTGCTGGTGGTGGGGCTGGTTGTTATCACGGGGATTGGGATTGAGCAGTTGTAGTTGGGGGTGCAGCAGAGCACGCGGATCTTGTAGTTGAGGCACATCTTGAATTTGCCCGTCTGGTCCTCGTTCTTACACACCAGTCCAAAGTGGACGTCGCACTGCACGACCTGCCCCACCTGCTGGATGGCGACGTCAGGGTAGTCCTCCGCCTGGCACTCGATCTGCTTTGGCTGCCGGCAGATTCGCTTGCCGGCGGCGCGGATGTGCTGGTAGGTTTCGAAGTCTCCCTGGTTGGGCCCCGAGGAGGGGAAGTCGACGTCAAACCATTCGCTCCAGGTGCAGATTTCGGGTTCACAGGGGGTGGTGGAGGAAGTTGTGGTAGACGTCGTCGGCGTGGGGCTGGTGGTGCTGGTGGAAGTGCTGATTTCTGTGGAACTGTAGGGCGTGGAGGTGGAGGTGGTGACAGTGGTGGTTGATGGGATGGTTGTGGTCGTGGTGCTGGTGGTGGGGCTGGTTGTTATCACGGGGATTGGGATTGAGCAGTTGTAGTTGGGGGTGCAGCAGAGCACGCGGATCTTGTAGTTGAGGCACATCTTGAATTTGCCCGTCTGGTCCTCGTTCTTGCACACCAGTCCAAAGTGGACGTCGCACTGCACGACCTGCCCCACCTGCTGGATGGCGACGTCAGGGTAGTCCTCCGCCTGGCACTCGATCTGCTTTGGCTGCCGGCAGATTCGCTTGCCGGCGGCGCGGATGTGCTGGTAGGTTTCGAAGTCTCCCTGGTTGGGCCCCGAGGAGGGGAAGTCGACGTCAAACCATTCGCTCCAGGTGCAGATTTCGGGTTCACAGGGGGTGGTGGAGGAAGTTGTGGTAGACGTTGTCGGCGTGGGGCTGGTGGTGCTGGTGGAAGTGCTGATTTCTGTGGAACTGTAGGGCGTGGAGGTGGAGGTGGTGACAGTGGTGGTTGATGGGATGGTTGTGGTCGTGGTGCTGGTGGTGGGGCTGGTTGTTATCACGGGGATTGGGATTGAGCAGTTGTAGTTGGGGGTGCAGCAGAGCACGCGGATCTTGTAGTTGAGGCACATCTTGAATTTGCCCGTCTGGTCCTCGTTCTTACACACCAGTCCAAAGTGGACGTCGCACTGCACGACCTGCCCCACCTGCTGGATGGCGACGTCAGGGTAGTCCTCCGCCTGGCACTCGATCTGCTTTGGCTGCCGGCAGATTCGCTTGCCGGCGGCGCGGATGTGCTGGTAGGTTTCGAAGTCTCCCTGGTTGGGCCCCGAGGAGGGGAAGTCGACGTCAAACCATTCGCTCCAGGTGCAGATTTCGGGTTCACAGGGGGTGGTAGAGGAAGTTGTGGTAGACGTTGTTGGCGTGGGGCTGGTGGTGCTGGTGGAAGTGCTGATTTCTGTGGAACTGTAGGGCGTGGAGGTGGAGGTGGTGACAGTGGTGGTTGATGGGATGGTTGTGGTCGTGGTGCTGGTGGTGGGGCTGGTTGTTATCACGGGGATTGGGATTGAGCAGTTGTAGTTGGGGGTGCAGCAGAGCACGCGGATCTTGTAGTTGAGGCACATCTTGAATTTGCCCGTCTGGTCCTCGTTCTTGCACACCAGTCCAAAGTGGACGTCGCACTGCACGACCTGCCCCACCTGCTGGATGGCGACGTCAGGGTAGTCCTCCGCCTGGCACTCGATCTGCTTTGGCTGCCGGCAGATTCGCTTGCCGGCGGCGCGGATGTGCTGGTAGGTTTCGAAGTCTCCCTGGTTGGGCCCCGAGGAGGGGAAGTCGACGTCAAACCATTCGCTCCAGGTGCAGATTTCGGGTTCACAGGGGGTGGTGGAGGAAGTTGTGGTAGACGTCGTCGGCGTGGGGCTGGTGGTGCTGGTGGAAGTGCTGATTTCTGTGGAACTGTAGGGCGTGGAGGTGGAGGTGGTGACAGTGGTGGTTGATGGGATGGTTGTGGTCGTGGTGCTGGTGGTGGGGCTGGTTGTTATCACGGGGATTGGGATTGAGCAGTTGTAGTTGGGGGTGCAGCAGAGCACGCGGATCTTGTAGTTGAGGCACATCTTGAATTTGCCCGTCTGGTCCTCGTTCTTGCACACCAGTCCAAAGTGGACGTCGCACTGCACGACCTGCCCCACCTGCTGGATGGCGACGTCAGGGTAGTCCTCCGCCTGGCACTCGATCTGCTTTGGCTGCCGGCAGATTCGCTTGCCGGCGGCGCGGATGTGCTGGTAGGTTTCGAAGTCTCCCTGGTTGGGCCCCGAGGAGGGGAAGTCGACGTCAAACCATTCGCTCCAGGTGCAGATTTCGGGTTCACAGGGGGTGGTAGAGGAAGTTGTGGTAGACGTTGTTGGCGTGGGGCTGGTGGTGCTGGTGGAAGTGCTGATTTCTGTGGAACTGTAGGGCGTGGAGGTGGAGGTGGTGACAGTGGTGGTTGATGGGATGGTTGTGGTCGTGGTGCTGGTGGTGGGGCTGGTTGTTATCACGGGGATTGGGATTGAGCAGTTGTAGTTGGGGGTGCAGCAGAGCACGCGGATCTTGTAGTTGAGGCACATCTTGAATTTGCCCGTCTGGTCCTCGTTCTTACACACCAGTCCAAAGTGGACGTCGCACTGCACGACCTGCCCCACCTGCTGGATGGCGACGTCAGGGTAGTCCTCCGCCTGGCACTCGATCTGCTTTGGCTGCCGGCAGATTCGCTTGCCGGCGGCGCGGATGTGCTGGTAGGTTTCGAAGTCTCCCTGGTTGGGCCCCGAGGAGGGGAAGTCGACGTCAAACCATTCGCTCCAGGTGCAGATTTCGGGTTCACAGGGGGTGGTGGAGGAAGTTGTGGTAGACGTTGTCGGCGTGGGGCTGGTGGTGCTGGTGGAAGTGCTGATTTCTGTGGAACTGTAGGGCGTGGAGGTGGAGGTGGTGACAGTGGTGGTTGATGGGATGGTTGTGGTCGTGGTGCTGGTGGTGGGGCTGGTTGTTATCACGGGAATTGGGATTGAGCAGTTGTAGTTGGGGGTGCAGCAGAGCACGCGGATCTTGTAGTTGAGGCACATCTTGAATTTGCCCGTCTGGTCCTCGTTCTTGCACACCAGTCCAAAGTGGACGTCGCACTGCACGACCTGCCCCACCTGCTGGATGGCGACGTCAGGGTAGTCCTCCGCCTGGCACTCGATCTGCTTTGGCTGCCGGCAGATTCGCTTGCCGGCGGCGCGGATGTGCTGGTAGGTTTCGAAGTCTCCCTGGTTGGGCCCCGAGGAGGGGAAGTCGACGTCAAACCATTCGCTCCAGGTGCAGATTTCGGGTTCACAGGGGGTGGTGGAGGAAGTTGTGGTAGACGTCGTCGGCGTGGGGCTGGTGGTGCTGGTGGAAGTGCTGATTTCTGTGGAACTGTAGGGCGTGGAGGTGGAGGTGGTGACAGTGGTGGTTGATGGGATGGTTGTGGTCGTGGTGCTGGTGGTGGGGCTGGTTGTTATCACGGGGATTGGGATTGAGCAGTTGTAGTTGGGGGTGCAGCAGAGCACGCGGATCTTGTAGTTGAGGCACATCTTGAATTTGCCCGTCTGGTCCTCGTTCTTACACACCAGTCCAAAGTGGACGTCGCACTGCACGACCTGCCCCACCTGCTGGATGGCGACGTCAGGGTAGTCCTCCGCCTGGCACTCGATCTGCTTTGGCTGCCGGCAGATTCGCTTGCCGGCGGCGCGGATGTGCTGGTAGGTTTCGAAGTCTCCCTGGTTGGGCCCCGAGGAGGGGAAGTCGACGTCAAACCATTCGCTCCAGGTGCAGATTTCGGGTTCACAGGGGGTGGTGGAGGAAGTTGTGGTAGACGTTGTCGGCGTGGGGCTGGTGGTGCTGGTGGAAGTGCTGATTTCTGTGGAACTGTAGGGCGTGGAGGTGGAGGTGGTGACAGTGGTGGTTGATGGGATGGTTGTGGTCGTGGTGCTGGTGGTGGGGCTGATTGTTATCACGGGGATTGGGATTGAGCAGTTGTAGTTGGGGGTGCAGCAGAGCACGCGGATCTTGTAGTTGAGGCACATCTTGAATTTGCCCGTCTGGTCCTCGTTCTTGCACACCAGTCCAAAGTGGACGTCGCACTGCACGACCTGCCCCACCTGCTGGATGGCGACGTCAGGGTAGTCCTCCGCCTGGCACTCGATCTGCTTTGGCTGCCGGCAGATTCGCTTGCCGGCGGCGCGGATGTGCTGGTAGGTTTCGAAGTCTCCCTGGTTGGGCCCCGAGGAGGGGAAGTCGACGTCAAACCATTCGCTCCAGGTGCAGATTTCGGGTTCACAGGGGGTGGTGGAGGAAGTTGTGGTAGACGTCGTCGGCGTGGGGCTGCTGGTGCTGGTGGAAGTGCTGATTTCTGTGGAACTGTAGGGCGTGGAGGTGGAGGTGGTGACAGTGGTGGTTGATGGGATGGTTGTGGTCGTGGTGCTGGTGGTGGGGCTGGTTGTTATCACGGGGATTGGGATTGAGCAGTTGTAGTTGGGGGTGCAGCAGAGCACGCGGATCTTGTAGTTGAGGCACATCTTGAATTTGCCCGTCTGGTCCTCGTTCTTGCACACCAGTCCAAAGTGGACGTCGCACTGCACGACCTGCCCCACCTGCTGGATGGCGACGTCAGGGTAGTCCTCCGCCTGGCACTCGATCTGCTTTGGCTGCCGGCAGATTCGCTTGCCGGCGGCGCGGATGTGCTGGTAGGTTTCGAAGTCTCCCTGGTTGGGCCCCGAGGAGGGGAAGTCGACGTCAAACCATTCGCTCCAGGTGCAGATTTCGGGTTCACAGGGGGTGGTGGAGGAAGTTGTGGTAGACGTCGTCGGCGTGGGGCTGGTGCTGCTGGTGGAAGTGCTGATTTCAGTGGAACTGTAGGGCGTGGAGGTGGAGGTGGTGACAGTGGTGGTTGATGGGATGGTTGTGGTCGTGGTGCTGGTGGTGGGGCTGGTTGTTATCACGGGGATTGGGATTGAGCAGTTGTAGTTGGGGGTGCAGCAGAGCACGCGGATCTTGTAGTTGAGGCACATCTTGAATTTGCCCGTCTGGTCCTCGTTCTTGCACACCAGTCCAAAGTGGACGTCGCACTGCACGACCTGCCCCACCTGCTGGATGGCGACGTCAGGGTAGTCCTCCGCCTGGCACTCGATCTGCTTTGGCTGCCGGCAGATTCGCTTGCCGGCGGCGCGGATGTGCTGGTAGGTTTCGAAGTCTCCCTGGTTGGGCCCCGAGGAGGGGAAGTCGACGTCAAACCATTCGCTCCAGGTGCAGATTTCGGGTTCACAGGGGGTGGTGGAGGAAGTTGTGGTAGACGTCGTCGGCGTGGGGCTGCTGGTGCTGGTGGAAGTGCTGATTTCTGTGGAACTGTAGGGCGTGGAGGTGGAGGTGGTGACAGTGGTGGTTGATGGGATGGTTGTGGTCGTGGTGCTGGTGGTGGGGCTGGTTGTTATCACGGGGATTGGGATTGAGCAGTTGTAGTTGGGGGTGCAGCAGAGCACGCGGATCTTGTAGTTGAGGCACATCTTGAATTTGCCCGTCTGGTCCTCGTTCTTGCACACCAGTCCAAAGTGGACGTCGCACTGCACGACCTGCCCCACCTGCTGGATGGCGACGTCAGGGTAGTCCTCCGCCTGGCACTCGATCTGCTTTGGCTGCCGGCAGATTCGCTTGCCGGCGGCGCGGATGTGCTGGTAGGTTTCGAAGTCTCCCTGGTTGGGCCCCGAGGAGGGGAAGTCGACGTCAAACCATTCGCTCCAGGTGCAGATTTCGGGTTCACAGGGGGTGGTGGAGGAAGTTGTGGTAGACGTTGTCGGCGTGGGGCTGGTGGTGCTGGTGGAAGTGCTGATTTCTGTGGAACTGTAGGGCGTGGAGGTGGAGGTGGTGACAGTGGTGGTTGATGGGATGGTTGTGGTCGTGGTGCTGGTGGTGGGGCTGGTTGTTATCACGGGGATTGGGATTGAGCAGTTGTAGTTGGGGGTGCAGCAGAGCACGCGGATCTTGTAGTTGAGGCACATCTTGAATTTGCCCGTCTGGTCCTCGTTCCTGCACACCAGTCCAAAGTGGACGTCGCACTGCACGACCTGCCCCACCTGCTGGATGGCGACGTCAGGGTAGTCCTCTGCCTGGCACTCGATCTGCTTTGGCTGCCGGCAGATTCGCTTGCCGGCGGCGCGGATGTGCTGGTAGGTTTCGAAGTCTCCCTGGTTGGGCCCCGAGGAGGGGAAGTCGACGTCAAACCATTCGCTCCAGGTGCAGATTTCAGGTTCACAGGGGGTGTTCGTTGAATATGTTGTTGTAGTGCTGCTTGCCACTGTTGTAGTACTGGTTTGCTTTTCTGTTTGCATTGTTGGTTTTGATGTTATTCTTGTGTGGATGTAATCTGTTTTTGGTTCTCCAGTTGTTGTCTTGTGTTTTGTTTGTAAACTTAATCTTGTTGGTTCTGGTCTGGACATTGTACTTGAATGCCTTGTAGTTGGTTGTGTTGTTGTAGTCAGAGTTTCAGGGGCTGTTTCACATGGCACTGGTATATTTATGCAGCATTTAAAACGCAGTTCATAATTATAGCAGATGGGTGGCAGTTGATCTTTATTGTAGCATTTTAACCCTTCTTCTGTGTTACATGTTATGTGTTGCTCTAGTAGAGGATATGGGGTATTAGGGAACCGTACTGCTCTGCATTCCACGTCCTTTCTATTGCTGCAGACTTGGTATCCCTTATTTTTGATGTTCTCAATTGTATCAAAATCTCCATCATTGTAACCTGACCCTGGATAACTGACATCATACCATCTTGACCAGTAGCATTCTTCTTTGTAACAAAGAGGGATTGTTGAAGGGGATGTGGTGACAGGTGTTGTCGTTTTAGTTGTTTCTTCAGTAGGTGATGGTATCAATGTTGTACTTTCAGTAGTAACTGAATAAGTTGTTTCACTCGATGTTTCTGTCAGAGTTGGAGTTGTGACTGGGGTTGATGTGCGGAAAGGCCTTGTGGAAGAGCATGGTACAAAAACACAGCAGAGGATTCTGATTTCATAGTTGTTGCACATTGTTGAAATCTGATCCTTGTTGTAACATATAAGCCCTTGTGTTGTGCTGCATTCTACTTTTTGGCCAAGGTCTTTCAGTGGTATGTCAGGGAATTTCTCTGCTCTGCATTCAACAGCCTTTGGGGCTTTACAAACCTCATAACCTTTTGCTCGTAAATCAGCAAAAGTTTCAAAATCTCCTCCATCATAGCCAGGGGTTTGTAGACTCCCATCATACCATTCTGACCACTCACAGACTTCATGAACACATACTGATGTAGTTGGTGACACTGTGAAGGAGAAAAGGAAAAGGAAGAGACCATGAAATGAAGAATGAATTCCTGTAAATACTAAATTTTTTTGTTATTTTAAATGGGCTGACAATTTTCCTGATGTCATTTGTCTTGCATTATGCTCCTGTAGTGCATCAGTTTATTTTACTATGTTGGAGAACAGCAAATCCATCACCCAGCAATTTAATGTAGTGACATGCTTCAAACTGTCACTTCCCAAGGGAATACTAATTATATGTTACAAGGTGCTGAAATAAGGTTCAGGTCTAATTTATACACTCTAGGAAAAAAAAAACCAAGTCTCACTTGTTTTGCATTCGGTTCAGTCTATTTGCTTTGGTTCTGTCTTGCTTCACCATATACTAGTCTCTCTGGAATGTATTGAAATCGGTGGAAAGAGTAGCTTTTTTCTTCCAAATCAGTTGACTCCTCACTTAGAGCAGAGCAGTCTTTGTTCCTTTATTTCAAACATCCCTACACTTTGTATTTTAGCTCTGATCTGAAGGAACCATTTATTGGTTGGAGGGCTTTTGCAGATAAACTCTCATTATGAAAAAGATGGAAAATAGCTACTGAATTCCAGTAATGCTGATATTTTCTGTAATTTCAAAACGTATGTATTTTATACGAAATACTGATTTCATAAAACAACATATACCTAGAGGAACTTGCGTTTCCCAGCCTGAAGAATGCTGTACAGGAATTCTAAAACCAAAAATTTTATTATCTCAATGCCAATATTTGAGCAACCCACTTAGTACTGTAAAATATGTTTTTCTCACTAAACAAGAAAATACAATCTTAGGGGCTACAAAGGACCTACCTGTGGAAGTAGTGGTAGGTGGTGTAGAGCTGAAGTGAAATGTCGTTGCTGTTGTGGGTGATGTTGAGATTAGACATTCATGCATAAGCCTTTGAAGTGTTCCATTGGTCCCACAGATTGCAACAATACACCATCCTGTGCCATCTGTAGTGTTGTAGACCACATCATTGTAGTTGTACTTCTGCCCTTCATAAATGCAGACACATTCTGTAGATCAAAACAGGATGTTATTCCTTGCTAGCTGAAACACAGCGTACCCTAAATGTGTCTTATTCATATATAAATGACTTTATCAACATACCATGTTCATCATATCTGCATTTTTTGCCATGAACTGTACATTCGCTGAAAAAGAGAAAAACAGATTATGAGTGATTATGAGATTATCAGGACATACTAGTTCATGACTTTTTTTTGTTATAATTTTTCTTCTATCAATCCTTTGCTATTAATTGTGTGTTTAAATGTAAAATGACCCTTGTCTGAGCTAGACAGTCGGTTCTGCTCTACAAATTCAGGCTAGGTATTTAGATTCAGGGTACAAGTTCTCTGGCAATAAAGGTAGCTCTTCTTTGAGCCAGCATATAAATCATGCAGCATCCCTACCAATGCTTTTGGGAACAGGAAAAAAGATGTAAGATGGGTGATTTAAAATATTCTTATCTACCCAACAGATCTATTTTTTGCAGGGGAAAAGCACAGTATATATATCATTTACATTTCAAAGGATATATACAAAGGATTACTACCACGGATGTTGAGGTAAGCTACACAGTGAATTTCCATTAGGCTTCCATAATATGCAAGAAGAATTCTGGTTTGAAGGGCAATTTATCTGTTAAGAACTGAATCTTGACCTATTTATTTACAGGAACTAAGGACATCTATACACTGATCAAACTGAGATTTGGATAGGTGTTTAATGGATTAGGTTTAGTGCTGTTAATGGCCTAGATGATATAGGTGAAGGCATCTATGAAGTGCAAACCTTGCAAAGGATGTTGGTTTAGCTCCAATGGCTTTCAGCTTAAGATTTTTGCTGTTCAGATTGCACTGCTTAGCATATTTATGTGTAGCTTCTTTAAAGGTATCTTAAGACAACTGCTTCACAATTGCTTTTGCTAACTCTGTACTTAAGCTTTACAGAAGGCTTAGCAGCACTTGTCATTGGTAATGTGTGAGAATACGCGCTGACTGTTGCAACTATGCAAGTACCAGCGTGATAACAAAAACAAGCTCAAAACAATGTAGATGTGTTGGCTGCTCACTTCTAATGAATTTCACGTGATGAGATTAGGTATATCTTATTAAAAATTCTCAGACTCTTCCCTAATTTTTTAGGGAACAAGCTAAATTATTTTAGCTCATTTTCACTTCATTTTATAATGAATAATTAAATGTTATTTAATAAATATACAAAATAAGTAGTAAATTAATCTCTTGATGATAAAATGTTTCACTGTGTTATTATTTCCTAGGAAGGGAAGAAAATGACATTGTTCATCAGCCTCTGACTGGCCTAGTTCCTGTTGGTAATTAACACATTTAATGTGTGATGGATTATGTTCCACAATTTTAAAATCTATTTTTAAAATTATTTTCTAATCCTACCATGATTCACAATTCTGCTTTGAAGGCATCTCCATTCCTGGTTTGTAATATTTTCCATCTTCATAACAACCACAATAAGAAACACAGGTCATGGTTTCCTCATCAAAATAGGGCTTATTCTTTGGACATTGTGGATAGCAACCTGCAATAAAAAAAGAGTCAGGTTGACACTAGGCCTTTCATAATTATAAGTAAGCCTACACTCATAATCTGCTTTTCCCAAAATGTCCCACATGGTAAGTGGAATGTCACATCCTCTTACTGCTATTCCTTTGATTGCACATTAGGCTTTGGAGTATTTTGTCCCCATCTTCATTCCAAACAAGTACATAATCCATTAGGAAATACAATACTAATTAGAAAATCTTTTCTTACATTTTCTAGTGCAAACGTGTCATACAGTGAGTAATAAAAATTTTGTTCACCATACTGTATTTTAACCTTTCAAGTAGAACGAGATATGCATAATTATGTTTACCTTCCAAACCCCTCATCTCATGAAGGCATTTCCCACTTGGATTATTGCAGGTCTTCATACAAGGTGCTCCACATGGCTTGTAGTGCCACTCGCATTCCCCTTGTGGATTATAGTAATCACAGAAGAGAGCTAGAAGAAGAAATGCCAGAAAAAATACCTTTGATGTTTTAGCTCTATACTGTTTTAGTTTTTCTATGTAAAAATCCAATGGGATCAGCATAATCTCATATGTGGGGAACAATATATTGTCTTATTGTTAAGGCAATACAATTGCTACATTTCTAAAACCTTTTAACACCAATAAATATATACATCATGGAGTTACACATTAAACATGAAAAATAAGTTGATTGAATCACTGATCTTAGCTTGCACTTATATTTATTTACATGGAACCTGATCTAGACATGTGGTAGTGTATAAAATATCATATTTCACCAGTAGTGTATCATGATTGTCAAGTTAATTAGACACTAATCACACTGATTGTAAACTTATTGCCTGTGGTTTCATTTAGCTAAGATAGATTGTTTTCCAGTGATTTACTCAACTGCTTTGTTGGTGTTTTTTAGGGTTTGTTTGTTTGCTTTTTTAAGCATATAGCTGTGACTCTTAGAAGCACAATTTTATCCTTCCTTTCTTGTTCTCCTTTGTTTCTTTTTTTTCTCCCCTTCTGTTTTCTTTCCCTCTGAACCCCTTAAAAAAGTAGTGGGTTGAAACTCACGACAAATGGATGGGGTTCTCCATGATATGCAGATGTCCAGCTCATTACATGCTTGAGCATAGGCAGCTACTGCTGTGCAGAAACATTCACAGTCTCCTCCAGTGTCACAGGCACAAGCATCATCCACACATGATTGGTAATATTCATTTGGTTCAACCTGATAGAGAAAACATGCAAGTTTTCATGCCCTTTTCCTCTTTGCACTGTCCTAAAATAGCTGAATAAGATATCTGAAACTCATAGGTCTGTATGAGAGAAAGCTAAGAAAGGAAGAAATCATGAGAACACCTTGAAAAATCAAGAGGAAAATGAAGAATAAAGCTATTGCTAGTAAGCTGCAATATTAAGAACTGGTTGGTGTTGAAGACCATTGCAAAATACTGGAAATTACTACAAGCTAGCACAGAGTCATACATATCAGGTGGCTGGCATTTGTATTAGTGGAAAATTATGCCATTAGACAATAAACATATACCGAGATATATCTACTGAGATATATCTCCTGTTGTTCCTTCTATTAACACAAACAAACTAACCAAAGCAAAACAATCCATTTCTTTAGTATACTTGCTCAAGATGAAAGTTGAGAAAATGAAAGTGAAAATATTTCTATGCAGTCACTCTATGCAGGAACTTCATCTAACTTCACTTTGTCAAGCATGACAAAATGTATTTTAGAGTATTTTTTAATTTATTCCACATAAAAATGGATGTAATCATTTTGTTGAGAATTTAAGACTAAATTTTTTGTCATACCTGTGAGTGACACTTTGCAAACACTTCACTGGTGATGATGCTGCATTGCTTCTGTGCCCAGGCTTTCCTGTATGGGTTTGCAGTGCATGGATCCTGTGTACGATTGGCATTTGGGCAATTAGAAGATACTTTCCAGCTATTTGCAAACTCCAGCACATTTCCTACCACAGACTGAATGCGAGTAGTGAAGTCATTATTTCCATTGCCATCATAGTTTCCACAAAGTCCGCAGACATGGCCCTGCATCAAGATAAAAAACCAAAATTACAAAGATCAGCAATGTACAATTTCTTAGTAGCTGTGAGTAGCAGACCTCAGGATGACTCTTATGTAAGATTATTAATGCCTATTTAATAACAGTGTTGGATATTTTCATAAAATGCTTCTCATGAAGAGAGGTCTCTAGCTTGTTATGAAGGAGTGGACTGATGTGTTTTGTTCTAAGTACTGAGATATTTAGTTTTAGCTGATGCTAAATATGTCTCTTCAGTGAGGGTTTTTCATGAAGAAAGCTACTGATAAAGTTGCTGTTATGTCATTGCTGAATAATATAATTTAAGGATAATGCATAGTACACAATTTAAGTCAACATAACAAGGATAGTATTATGTGGCTTCTGCTCTTCTGGTTTACAGTCTAAATTTCCACCCTCTTTCTTTAAAAGACAATATGACTATGTTACAGAATTAATTTCATTCATGTTTTCACTTTTAAAGTATACCTGAAAGCTGGGACTAAGTTTGATGAATATACTGGTTTTCTTGTCCCACATGAGTATCAGACCAACAGTAGTATCAACCACCAGGTAGATGCCCATGGAACGAATTTGGAATGGCATTTTTCCTCCAGGTGTCCTCTGGATGACATCAGAGTGTCCATCACCAAGTACCAGCTCATAGTTCTAAGACAGGAGAAGAAAAAGTTAGAGGCTAATTTAGAAAATCACTATTTTGTAGTTTTATATATTGACAGTAACTTCTTGAAATAATATTATCATCAAGAGGATGCTATTCAACAACCTCAGGTTAAGAAATTTCTTTGTAGATTTCCCACCTTTGCTTTCTAGAGCAGAGAGGAAAAAAGTCTAGTGACCTTGTCATTATGTTGGAGGTCACTTCTCCTATGCAGCCTAGTTGGGACAGCTTGTTCCATCCTTCTGGCACAACTAAAAAAAATACTTACACCCAGGAAAACTTTAATAGACTTAGAGCAGGTAGTTCCTGTAGTGCCACATGGAATGTTCTCGGTAATGACTCTGAAGGTTCCCTGGTTCATAGCTTGTTGACCACAGTAGTTCTGAAACAGGAGAATTATACTCACTGTTTTATGTTACATGTTCATAAGTAAAATGCAAGGTATTTCAAGCAAAAATCTAGGCAGGACTCTGTTACCTGGACCAGAACATATTCACAGTCTCCTTCAAAATCAAAGCGTTTGCCATCAAAGGTGGTATAATGCCCATCTCCATAAACAGAACATGTTTCCAGGCAGGGTTCCTCAGAGCATTGCCATTTTCTGTTTCTACATGTGCTACACAAGAAAAAAAAGCACTCCCAATGTAAAAACTAGAAAAACACAATATAGGTACATTTCTCTATTTTAACATCTGTTAAGATTCTAATGAAAAAATAAGGTTCGCTTATTCTCAAAAATGCAACATAGGTCAAGAAGTACTGGAATTTATCCCAAGACTGTGTTACTTAATGTAATGAATCATCTGCATCAGAAGACACCAAGTCTTTCACATTTTCAGATCCTGTTGGATCTATTGAAATGGAAGGACTTCCTTAGAAGAAAGATTTTTTTTTTTTTAACTTGAATACTTGAATGAATATGACATCAAAACCATGGTATTTTTCTGACAACTTGCAATTTATGGGCTATGCCATTGAGAAAAATAGACAGAATTTGCCTTTCAGGTACTAAGTGGATTGTTTTATGCAGGATTCTAGAAATCTTGATACTGCTAGAGTGAAATGATGTTATTTATGTAGATCTTAAACTGTTCTATTTCCAAAATATTATTTTTCAATATGCTCTTACCAGTTGTTACAGCCAACTCTGATTGATTCTCCTGGACTGTAGAAATTCCCATTGTGAATACATGGACAGTCTTCTGGAGCAATACAGCCACCTTTGCCATCCGACACTTGATCATGAGGACATACACAGCCAGAGACACAGTGAGTTTTGTACTGTAAGGACCATAAAGAAAACATGTCTTGAAACATTTCCCTGCTGGAAGAGTCCAGCTGTAGCTGGTAATTGTAAGAGATACCTTTATTAATATGCTTTCAACTAGGTATAAAGAGTCTGTACTTACACATTCCATGTCTAGAGTCTGACAGCTCTTCTGGCATCCTGCTCCTACCACATTTGCAGTGACATTGTCACAGTCAACATAAACCATGGGAGGCACACAGACTGCAAGAGGAAAAACCATGAGAAATGTGAGCCCAACCATGCATTTGTATCTCTATGTTCCCAAGAAAAAATGGAAATACTCCTTCATGAATTATGTGCACCTTAGTGTGATGCATGTAGTGAAAGAGAGAAACCAAACATTGTTTTGATTTCATATTCATGTGGTTTTTGTGATTATGCTTGGACTACTCAATAAAATTAATTTTTATTTAGCTTCATGAAACACTTCCTTTCAGAAAACCAGAACAAAACAGGATAAGAAATATCCTTGTTTACTTGTTTGACTTTTTTTTTTTTTTTTTGCTTGCTTTGGGGTTTTTTTGCTTTTATAATTTAATTAAAATGTGAATAGCTTTCCTCTCACATTAAGTGAGGTGAGCAAGTATCCTGTTACCCTGGGTAACCCAGGGGGTTCTAACTTCAACCACCTGAAAGGTAAGACAGTGTTTCTTTATATTTTGAGAATGTCCTCTATATTACAGAAGAACTTAATTCCTTTTCTTGGTTGATTTCAGACTTGTACAATTTGCATCATTATGACAAGAGAAGAAAGAAACAAAAAGACTGAAGATGGAAAGGGAGAATTAAAGAAAGTCTTAAGTGATATGTTACCTGGTTCAGGCTTCTCACCAATGCAGCTCAGCTTTCCATAGGCACAAGTGCTATAAAAACAAGCAAATGGATATTTTTATACTTCTTCTTGTTAAGTTTCAGCCTATTTCCCAATGAACTTGAAAGAATGAAAAATTACTCTGTAATAAAATAAAATGTGTTTTTTATCAAATAATTTGCATATTTAAAAAATATTAATATTCTGTATTAGAGTAAAATAAAATACAAGTAGATTCCATATAATGATTGCTCTGTCTATATGCCTGGTTTAAAGCTGTCCTTCAGAATAGTTCAGATTCCCATCAAAATGGGATAACAGAATTACCAGGCATCTTTCACCATGGAACAAGCTTTTTACAGTCATGGATAAGAAAATTATGTGTGGAGGCAAGGGACAGGGTGGGAGTTGGGCTGTTAGCAAAGGCAGACCCACCACAGGACATTTTGTTTGTTGAATTCCTGGAGTTGTTTATGAACAATCTTCCAAACATGGGTAGCCCTAAAAATTAAGAAGCTATGATTTTTTTAAATTGAAAATTTTAATTATAGAAATTAAATTGATTTCACAACATTTATATGGTTTCATGATTGCCTATATCTAACCTCTTCATTTTTTTTACAAATCTCTTACCAGACAACACCATTATCATGAACAACTTCACCAGAAGACAGAGGCATTCCTTTGTAGTAACAAGGACAGCTAGAAGCAGGCACACATTTGCCACTGTCATCCATGTAGGTTCCATTTATGCAGGTACAGCCATCAACTGGGACAAACTTGATGCTGCATGTGACATCAGGCTCACTCAGAGAACGGCAGGTGGGTTGACAGGAATCGACATTGTAGGTGTACTTCAAGGACTTCGGACACAAGGTGGTGTATTTTGCTTGAGAGTAAGAAGGTGAGTTATATTTGTTGTTCATTCAAGAATCAATATAGGTATAAAGTATTTGAGATAAAGTATGTATGATAAATGTGGCATTGTATGTACACATGCTTTACTGATATGTCCAGTAGTGTAATTTTTTGTAGTACTAGAGCAAAATTTTCCCTTATAAATGTGTCATATGTTTTGCCCAAGTTAAAAAAAAAAAAGTTCAATTATAGTAAGACACAGTATGTTTCTTCCTCTATGCTATTTTTATACTTCTTATCAAAGTAAGTTGATAAGCACCCTACTTATTTTATTTCTATTGCAAGGGTATTTCTCTTCAGGCTTTTTTCTTATGGTTCTGAGCAAGTAATCTAACAAAGCCCATTTTTAATATTTCGTCTTGTTTGTTGTTTATCTTTATGGCATTCCTTTCCTACTCAGATTCTTTGAAGTCAATGCTATACTTAAACTCCAGTTTAACAGAATTTACTGTGGAATCCCTGAGAGTTGCTGTGTAGGGCCTTCTAGGTGATCATTTTCAAAAGACAAAAGGGATGTAAAACTTACTGCAGGCTTTGCTTCTCCATCCAGCGAGAAGAACTCCTTTAGCAGCACAGGCTCTGACATAGCTGGAAAGGGCAGCACACATGCAGTCCTCACTCTTCTCACAGTTACACGTGTCAAACATGCAGGTCTAGGAACAGAGGATGATGTGATCATCAGAATGCCATTTCAAAGCCATGGAACTCTGCAGTTTTTAAGAATTACGTTCATTAGAGGTTTAAAAGAGTGTAATTCACATGTATAAGTGAATATATGTCCGATTTTTATTGAGCTCTTTCAAGAGTTTGAAAAAAGAGCAACTAGAGATTCACTATTTTGAACTAGTTTTTATTTTTTCACGTGTTGGCAGTTTTACAACAACTACTTCAAATTTGTTGCCACTGTACCATATATATTTGGAATAAATTGAGATTTTTTTGATGCCACCCAGCTTTTGGAGCTTTTGATTAAGAGCCTGGGCTCTCTGCAGCAGAGGAACAAAGAATACAAGAAGTTATTGGATGTGTTTCTATGCTGGACAGGGGTAATACAATATTGTTAATTCCGGATGATGTTTATTGAGGATAATCTTACAAATTTCCAGTGACAGGAAGGTTTTTTAAAGTACCCAGGGACTCTGGTACAGAGTTGCATCACTTGAATTTCTGGAACATTTTCATTCACATCTTGTCTAATTCTCACCGCTGCTTTTTACACACTTTGCTTGCCTTGTCCTTGCATATATGCAAAAGTCTTCTGAGAGCAGTTCAGAGGAATTAAAGCACCAGTTAAGATTCTGGCTAAAGCTTTCATTATATCTCTCATAAAGGACAATTTTTATCCTTTGACAGTGAATCCAAACTCCTAACTTAGTCTTTAAATTTGCACCTAAAACAGGTACAGGAAGAATACACCTTTACATTTATCTTCCAGGGAATAGAAAGAAAGATAGTTTCACAAAGGAGCAAATTTCATATTGAGTAGATAAGAATGAACCCTTGGCTTGTAAAGAACTATCATGAATTCATCTCCTCGCAACTGGTAAGTTGTTCTCTCAGGTGTTAGTATCAGAAATCTGAGTAGTTTTCTCCTATATTGGATGGATGGCATTAGAGCCAAATACCTTATAGTAAACTTCTGGATTCACTGTTGAGTGACATTCAGCAAAAGGTCCCGTGGTATCGGAGAGCAGTCCACACCAGTGCTGAGCATACTGGTCTGTGAATTGAAAACAAGGTAAGGATTTGTATGGCAGTGCATTTGCAAAACTCTTGTCTCAACGTAAGTATACCTTCTCCAGGGAGGAAATTACAGAAGCTTAACATTACAGTATCATTAACCTCTGCATTTGCTGTGGCACACAGTCTTTCACTTCCTCTAGGCAGAAGTATGAACTCTTTATAAACTGAATGTTCTCTAATTCATTATAATTGTCATGGAATAAACTAAAGGTACCCCTAGCTGAATTTTAAAAAGAAGGTTCACACTGTAAAAAGATACACTTTTTTCTGAGATGAACTAGCATCGTTTATCTTGTGAATACTCAAGAATTATATATTTTGTTGGCTGAAATGCAGCTTGAATGCTTTCAGTCTCTGAACTCTAAGTCTGGTTCTAAGTTTAACAGTGGAAGGGCCACAACCTTCACTGCACAGCTGTGACAATGAGTCCTTTCCAGGAATGAATCCCTAATATGCTGTATGGTTCCAGTTTCCCTTAAGTATGTTGACTTGTTGTCTTGATCCAAAGGAATATATCTGAAGATCCAAAATATTTTGCTAGTTATTATTTCTTAATTGAAGACTTCTAGTGTCAACTGAGGAAAATTGTCTGCATATGCAAATAGTTCTGTTATTTTGGCTAAATGCTTGGCGGCTGATCAGCTTGTTTCATCTTTGCATCTTAGAGGAGAATAGAAGAGATGGCTGAGCTTACCATTTTGTATGCTGACAGTACAGGGGTCCTCAAAGGTATTTTTGGCATCAGGACAATCAGCCCGAGTTTTCCAAGTATTGCCAAAGGCAGCTGAAGTGCCCTCTATCACACCACTGGTGGTTTTGAAATCATCTGTCTGTACATCATTGAAGTTTCCACAGAGACCTAGAAGGAAGCAGATGGTCTGTGCAATTCTCTACAGGATGACAGGTCCTGGTGAAGGCAGTTGTTAGGACAAGGTCACTCACCACAGGTCTGCCCTTTGTGTGATGGGTCTAAGTCTATAAAAACTTGCATTAAAGGCATGAGTTGAACCTGTAGCTGAAGGCCGAAATTTGTTTGCAGAATTATGAAGAAAGATGAAGGCCTGAAGATGGTGATGTTTGCTACGAATACAAGAACAAAATAGTTATAATTGTATTCAAGATGAGCAGCTGAATTAGTTGTTCATTACAGAAACAATATAGTAGAGGAATAGTAGAGGAATTCTACAGACGTGTTTGATATGATCCTAATTTCTGAAGAACTGGGGGGAAAATGATCCTTACAGGATTTCAAATCCAGCACCAAAACAGCACCTAAGCAACAAATGTATACAAAACCTCGACTTTCTGTCAGATGTTTTGAAATGAGAGAAGAACAAACATATCTGTTGTTATTTGAAGGTTGCCTTTTTTTGATGAAAATGCTATAGTGCTATTTAATTGAAGACTCCAATGGAGTCTGGGACTATTCTGTCCTTTCATGGTTTGATTTGTGTTCAGGTGCAGTAGTGTTTGAGAAGAACTGGCATGTGAGAAACTTCAGTGATGAATTTGCTTTGAGAACAAGGATGGGAGAACACAGGGAAGTAATGACTTGAGAAACTGGAGTCCAGTTGCATGTCAGAATTTTTCTTTCCTCTATTATGACAAAGTTTGGATCTGAAAGTGTGCAACAACACTATTTGGTTAAACTAATTAGATATCACTAATATAACCCATGATTTTGCTAAAGTTATTAGTATTGAATAGGCAAATACTATCACAAAAAAATGGGAGATAATGGTCTCTGGGAGTGCAATCAGAGGTACAATTTATCTTTAGTTTAACTCATGTAGTAACATTTTAAAATAAAAATGAGAAATAGAAGTTTTTCAAAGGAACTTACCTGCTGAGAATGGTAACTGTGTGTAGATCATATTCACAAATACACTCCCAGAAGGCTGGATCACAATGTTCTGTCCACAAGAAAAGACAATTATTATCAAGCAGATAAGTTAAATACTTTCCAAATGTTTCCTTTCCAGTACTAATCAAGATATAAGGGGGAAAAAAATGGACAGAGACTATGATGATGTTCTGATTCCTGTACTATTTCTTTAATCTTTATTACTGTGTTCCACTGACTGTCCAAGAAAGCAAAAAACCAGAAGTTGTATAAATAACAGAAAGCTACTAAGATCTTCTCTTCTAATGCACATACTTTATTCTTAATTTTTCTTTTAATGATGTTCAAATTTGATAAAACAAAAAGGCAGTGCAAATTTCTTTTCTGTGCTGTTAGGTGTCATTTGCCTTATCTGTTAATCTTAGAGAACATCCCTGGAGGATGTCAGGTGTGTACATCTGCTGCTCACCGTTTGTCCTCCGTTTAGGCTGATGGCAACACCCTTGAGGCATGTCTCAGTGTCAGTCAGGCCACACTTGTGGATATCTCCCAACACTGTGAATTCATTGCTGTCACAGAGCTTGAAGAAGAAAACCAAAGATATTGTTAAAAAGGATTTGCTACATTGAAATAGTTATCTCAAAAAAATTCACATGCAAATGGAATTCTTAATAAAGTTAGTATTTTAAAAATATTGTATATTTTGTTTCTTCTTGTTCTTATGGTCTAACATACGTGTCTGGAATCACCAAGTAAGCTGGCATTCATGCAGTCTGCACACTGGAAGCTGTGCATTGCTTCTGACTTTCAGGGGTGAGTTAGACATACTAATCTGAACATTAAAACTTCCTCACGCATTAGTAAGATAAGTTCCTAATGTATAGGTAATACCTGTCTAATATGCTAAAGCAGAAGGAGGTGTGCCCTCCTTGCCCACTGGTTAGGAAGTTTACCAGGGAGAGAAAAGATCGTTTCCAATGTCTTCTGCACTGAATAGATTATTCAAGACTCTGGTGATTTGGACATTCTTTTAACAGGTAGGAAATATGGATTTAAATATTCCCTCATTGAAAATGAAACTAAAATAGCTATTCAGGAAGTTACTGCATAAAGGCTCAGATTTCAACAGAGTTCTGATTTTCAGAGGACTATGTTCTGTGAGCCATCATCAAAGTGTGCCTAATGGCCAAAAACAACAGGGAAAGACTCAAAGTAGGCTGTAATTCTGAATGTGGCTTATCACTTTTTTGGCATAGTGAAGACTAAATTGAGGGCAGCTGAGATGCAGAATTATGGCCTTCTAGAAATTCAGTATTAAATTCTGGGGCTTTTTGAACTTTTGTGTACAAATTTAGGAGTTTCTCTGCCTCCAGAGACCCTGAGAATCTAATTTCACATGTTGGTGCCAAAAGGAGGAGTTTAAGGTTTAAGTCTGACCTATGCTGCCATTGTGCATCAAGGCAGTGCTTGTGAATCTTATCCAAAAGTTTCATTGATTTAAGCTAATCTATTTCTAAATCATCTCATTCTCACTCTTTTCTAAGATTTTTATGATTCTTTTTCTTGGTAAGATTCAGATTGATCATGTCAAGAAGATTTTATTTAATATGAAGTCCTTATGAAAATAGTTTACCTTAGTCATTCAGTAAAAATAAACAATGAATACATCTTGGGTTATGAAATCTAACATAAAAACTCAGTGAAAATCCTAAAAAATTATCAAAGAAGACAAAAATACTACAATATTATTTAGTATAACCATAACAGAAAAGGTCCTGAAATCCATTTTAGGATGTTAACCCTATAACCATGTTAACCATCAATGACTCAGAAAACTGATGCAATTGCCAGAAGTTTTCATCAAACAACATTATATATAATAAAAACACTTCCTTTAGCAAGGATTGTGACTCATTTTTACCTTGGTTAGGACATAACTACAGTCTCCAAAGAAAGAATAGTATTTCTCATCAAATGTTGAAATGTGGGAACCTCCTTCAATACTGCAAGTCCCAGGGCATGACTGAGTGACACAAGACCATTCACCTCCAACACAGGTACTGAAATGAAGGAGGCATTCAGTAAGATTGGATAATGCAGTGTAAAAAAAATTAAAAGGCAGTAAGGGCAGATGATGCCCTAATTTTCCTCTTGAAACACTGATCATACCGCCGAAGGAACCAGTATTGCTTTGAAATCTCAAACAATTATGGGGCAGGCACATTTATATTAAGGTGATAATTTTCTCTATATGTTGTTGTTCATTTCCAGTCTTTGGACAGAATTCAATCCTGGTGAACCTGTAACCCATGTCAAATATTTTAAGTATTTCTTGGTAAATAAATAAATAGGCAGGTACAGTTGCCTACACTTATGCAGTAATACTTCAGTAATTATAGGGATAATAAAATATATATATTTGTCAAACAAGCTTCTCAAATGTCATCTTCCACTCTAAATGTAACATGCCCCCAAATGTCATGTTCTCCATAGTATTTATATGAGACCTTAGCATTACACTGTAGTACTGCAAAGGTATAACACTAATTCACCTCTGGTATTTGATTTGGATTATCTTCCTTCATTGGTATTTCTTGAAATTGAAGCACCTATTCAAAAACTCAAATTTTTGTTCCAAATGTGAAGGGAAAACAGACATGAAAGTACCCTCTAAAGCAGTGTAATTATGAAATTTCAGTTGGTAAGTAATTGCTCATTTGTTTTTAAAGGGGAAATCAGTAAATATTCAGCTAATGCACAAAAACACTCCAACCCAAAACCCCCAAAAAACCAAAAAGTGAGGAAATATGTTACCATGATCTGCATTTAGATGAGAAGGAGGCACCAGGAGCATAAGTTTCACCTTCATAGGTACAGTGGCATTCTCTGCGAGGAATGCAGCCAGCACCATTAACATCATCAAATACCATTCCTAGGAAAAGAAAGGGTCTATTACTTATTCTGTGCACTGCAGAACCTGCCTTTGAACACACATCTAGCAGATGCCTGAGACTACATCCCATTTCTTCTGTATCTTAAAATAATAGAATGGAAGTTAAGCAGAGTTTGAAGGGCTATAGTCCATTGAAGTCTATCTAAGAATCTTAGCATGATCAAAAAGGACTTCTAGGAAAACACCTTTCTGTTATGTGTTTCATTAGAATGGAATTAGGATTAAAACTATTAGGTAATGAGCTGGAATAGATGAACCACTTGTAGGACTGCCCAGGGACATACCTGTACAGTAAATATTTCTATGCCCAGAGACAGAGGATTGTCTTAGAGAAATCAATGCTACAACACAAACAAGTGATGGTGAATTCTGTGAAACATGGGGATGGGCAGAGCAGCTGCAAGGGGTGAAGCTCCCGTGATACACAGTCACAACATCAGCAAAAATTTAGACCCAGAAGTATGTACAGAGAGAACACATCTATCTTGTACTGACGCTCAGTTCTTGTGTGCAATTCTCTGAAGCACCAGATCTAACACACTGCCTAGTGGCTCTGTCAGCTCCTTGTTTAGACACACAACACTTGACAAGAAGGGTTTGGTCATTTGTGAAACCAGATTCAGCTTTGCTAACAGCAAAGGAGTTATGATTGCATGCAATATCTGCTTAAAAACTTCATACTTTTGGTGAACTGAGTTTGAATGCTGAGAATAGAAGACTCTGCTGTTATTAGGAGCAAATTATCTTATTCTCAGTTCAGTCATTTTATATATATATACATAAAAAATAGATCTATAAAAGCACATTTGTTGTTTAAAAGGTCATATTTAGTAATTTGTATAGAAATAGTACATCCAGGGGAGAAATGGAGCCATTACTTCAATGATAATAATACTGATGATGTGATGGGAATGATCCAGAGTACTAAAGTTGCTAAATGTGTACAGGTGAGTATCCTAGGGGGGCTGGTATGAGAAAAGGGCAGGAAATGAGCTTGCCTGGAGGACAAACGCAGCCATCTGTGCAGTGATCTTCACAAAGTGCAGATCGTTCAGGGTTGCTGCACGTGTTGGAGCAGGGAGAGCCACACTCGTGGTACTGCATGTTGAACGGACATGATTTGGCTAAAAGTAGAAAGAGTATTATAAAGCTGACTTCTCATTTAAAAGTTGGAGAAAGCACTTTTTTGCAGTTTTGGTTGTTTTCTGTCAAGATATGACAGGGTATCCTGATCCAAGTGGAGGCTGAAGCATTTTAGATTTTTTGATTCATATTGAAAATCCCCTAAACTTCCGTATTCCCAAAGTCTTGTGCATTACCAGGTAAAAACTGATTTCATTATAATTGTGCACTTTTGAATTACTGCCTTCTTCGGGAAAAAACCTCACATGTGTGAAGTTTGCTAGATGTGTGTAGTAAGCACAGGTGGAGGTCCCTTCCCGAGATACTCACGGCACAGGTCTGAGGTTCTCCAGTTCAGGGGCTGTCCACCTGCATGAGCACACTGCCGGGAGTACTCAGCAAAGGTGTTGCACATGCAGAAGTCAGCCATGGAGCTGTCACAGTGGCACAGGTCTTGTATGCAAGTTTCAATGTAGTCCTGGACATTCACAAGCATGTTACAACTCATAAATGCTTTGCTGGTTAATACTGTCTCACAGATAGAAGCCTAGGAAAGAAAAGAGAGAAGTTAAACAAAAGTGTTAAGAACATATGAAAAAATTATTTAAGGCATGGAGCAGAACAAATCAAAGATTGATCTGGTCCAGAAACCCTTCCAACAGTATCTATAAGCTGATGTCTAAAGAAAAATATAACAATAGGGCAAAACCACAGGGAACTTCTTTGAATAGCTTCCATATCCTTAGTTGCTGTCACCTCAGGTCACTTCCCAAGCATTATATATTTTCTTTATATTAAAACATCTTCAGTAATTTTCTCTTTCAGGAAAAGATACAGTCTTCTTGTAGAAGGGGAATGCAAACTTTTGGCATTCACTTTAGCGAGGAATACAACATGAAATTAAGAATCTTTTTCTTTTGAGACCTACAGCTGAGTCATATTCATGCTCTATTTCCCCCCTTCTAAAACATTTTTTCCAAAGGCAGAGAATGCATTCATAATGATAAAACAAATTTTGAGAAAGAGGTTCTTACAAAGTCTCTTGAGCAGTTCATCAGAGAAGTAGGAGGAATAGGATCATCACACTGTTCTGTGGGTCCATCCATCTTCTGCCTATTACCAAACTGTATGGGGGTCAGTTTTGTCTCTGTAAAAAAACAGTTCAAATATTAGAATAATGCTTACTAAATTTTACATGGAGTTATTTTCTTCTGTGGCACTATCTACTATGATGTGAACAGTGATTACCAAACAATATCACTATAATATGAAAGGGAAAATATGAACAGTATATATAAAAAACTGGATCCTAACAAGTGAAAAAAAGTAGAAATTTTTATGTGGCAGGTCTTAAAATATCTAACAGTGATGGAAGCAGTTAAATACATCTCAAAGACCTGACTTTGCACAACTGACACCACTGGAATACATGAAGTACCCCCAGTTTCCCAGTTAATACAACCCACAACCTATATTAAAGTATATTCTAAGAAAAAAAAAAAAAAAAAAAAAAAAAAAAAAAAAAAAAAGCAAGCACCAGTACTTAATAATGCTTTTTAGTACTTACTCCCTGAAATAAATTCATTGCTGACTGGAATTCCATTGAAGTCCCCACAAAGTCCACAAGTTTGATTGGCATATTTCTTATCTAGTTCCACCTAAAAAAAAAAACCAAAAAAAACAAAAAACAAAAAAAACCCAACAAAATAAAACACAACTGAGGAAAGAGTTTTTATAGAAATGGCAGTCTTGATGGTTAGGAGCACAGCCTATACCAGTACTGCTTGTGTACTCAAAATTTGAGATATGTTTGTTGTGGAGACTGTGCTGTGTGATAACAAGGTAGGCACTATTAGAATGGTCAGGAATGACCAAGAAATCTTGCTCTTATTCTAGTCCTGGATTGTGAACATAAATACTTTGCCAGGTCTGGAATCTCAGGAATACTTCATGGTGAGGTAGGAACATTAGAATTTGGCATCTGTCGATTTTGAGCTGAGCTTGGTGGGGAAAAATAGGAAATTGAAAGAAGATTGGAACAAAAAACAATATACTAAAAATGGGCACAAATCGAAAAGTAACTAATGCCTGCCTGGCTGTAATACTGCAAAGGTGTAAAAAGACTATTTTCAAAAAAACACACTTTCTGCTGTATTTTGGATGTTTTCTTACCAGGAGGGCATCTTGTCCATTCCAAAGGAAGGTCAGTCCCAGCTTGGCAGAAACTTTCAAATAGTTGTTACTTCTCTCTATGAAAACTCCCATATGGCTGTAGGGCATCTGGACCCTGGGGAAGCATCATCATAAGTCAGCAGGGGTAGGGACAGAATATCCATGGAAAGGATATCATTGTGGACATTCTCATTCTCCTTGAGAATTTTCAACATGTGTCTGAAGAAATTAGAGCAATAACTACTACAGACAACATAGGTTTGTAATATTTTGTCTATTTCCTGTGCAATTGCCTCTCATTGTGCAAATAGATTGGCCTTGCTTTTCCTACTGTTCCTTTTGGCTTTCTCCATTTAAGGGTGTTTCACTGGGTAAAATGTTAGCATAGATCTGTGGTTGTATTGTTCAAAAAACTGCTGGGAGGCTCTGTTTGTAGGCAGTGTGCTTCAGGATATTGCTATTTACCCCTTGAAGCATTTGCTTCAAGAGTCCAGGCTTTCTGTGACCTGAGTGCCATTCAGGAAGCTGTACCCAAGATAACCTTTAGACTAATTCACTGTACAAAGCTGCCATAATAGACGACTCACTGTGGGATAGCTGCCCAAATATTTACCTGGCCTTTTGGGTAGGTTTCACACCCAATGCCAAAGTCAGTGCTACCATTGCTACATAGATAGCAAGTTTGTAGAACACATAATTTTAAATTAATTCAGGTACAAGCTGAAAAGCAGTCACTGCTTTACTGCACATTGTTCAGTGCAAGGACAAAAACTGTCAAAAATACCTTGCAGGGATTCTGCTGTGCTAAAATTAATGGAACCTACTAACTTCAAGGGTGTAAAGAATGCAGCTTACAGACTTAATTGCATACATACACACACATTATTGTAGCAGTGAGACAGCATATTGGATACAGCTCATCCAAAGAAAAGAGCCACAACTGTACAAGTGACACTTAGCTTGCTGTCAAACCCTCCTTTGTATTTGTTACTAATTCAGGAAGGACCTGAGCCCTACCATTGCTTGGGAGCAACAATGAGATGAAGGAAAGGGACACTTGCTCAAAGAGCCCACTGGGAACAAGGTAGGAACGTACAATTTGTTGTCGAGCAGGACAGAGCTGGGGGTCAGTTCGATCACTACTCCTTCCAGCTTCATGATGACATGAGTGATCACAGTAGCATTTTCCACCATTGCACGCCTAATCTGGATGTTGAAGTCCTCGTAGGAAGACTTGCAGTTGGATGCAAAGATGTAATTGCAGACCCCAGGGAAATAAAAGATGTCCCCATCAAAGGTCTTGAAGTGGAAGTTACCCCATGTGCTGCACACACGGCCATTGTGAGAGGGGTTGCCAGCTGTGGATTCAAAACAAACAGTAAGAATTTTCTGTAGTTTTTTGTAATACCCTCCCTGTAGATGTTTTATTCCTCCTGCTTCTTTCAACATCCTCTTTCCAAAAGAGGCTTATCATCTTTTTTCTGTTTTGTCAAGATATTTTTGTCATTATTTGTTTATTTATTTCAGTTGCTTTTTGTGCTTAATCAGTTTTGCATAGGGATATAAGACCTAGGATCAAAAGAGACCTCTGGGGTCACTAGATCCAGTGCTCTAGTTCCCTATTCCATATATCCTTTCCTAAATGTATGGAGTCCTAAAGTTTCACCATAAAACCATTTTAAAGCTAGTTTAAAACTAGCTGATACACCTGCTTGGGAAGGCCACTCATACCCACAACTTCTAACTGGCTGGAAGACTTTTGTCAGCATCTTCGAAAACATATTCCTGTCCCATGTATGCCTGGTGGTTCTTGTGCCAAAATTACACTTCACCTTGAAGTGTCCAGGGTCTTGAATAATCTCCCTACTCCTCCTCCAGCCCATTATAGAAAGCTCTTCTTTCTTTTCAGTCTTCCTTTCCTTGCAAACATATTCTCCAAAATCCCTGATTATCTTCCCAAACCCTTTCCACATTTACACTCAGCCTGCTTGAATTGTATCCTATTTCCTAGATAAGCTGTCTCAACAGTTTTTAGCACACTAATAGTTTCCTCTCTTTACTGGAAATTTGTATAATACTGGGAAAAAACATGTACAATATGTATACATGTTTAAATATATATTAAAAGTTTTTCTTACAGCTGCATCCTAGAACAATGAGTCAAAAGCACTGGATTTACATTTAGATTATCTGTGTTACCTGATTAATTAATTCTCTGTTAATTTTTTCTTTTATGATGCTAAAGGTTCTTACACAATTTATTGGGTTTTTTTCAGTCACTCCATGCTCTGTCTCATTAACAAGGGCACAGATACCTGAACCATGACATTTGCTTAACTTACCCTTTACTTTCAGTGCATTTTGAAAAGGTGGAATGATTGTCACTCCTTGGGATTTGAAAGCTGGTGGAAAATAGAAAGGAGAAAATTGGCCAGGTTTAATCTTTTCTGAAGTCCTAAAGCATGGGTAGAGATTGCCTAGTTTTTTTAGTGAATAATATTTCCTACAACTAGTTACATTCTAGTGGAAAGTTTCCACAAGGTTTTATTGGTGGTTTTAACAAATTGCTTTGTGTTCTGTCTTTCTATAAATTTCACTAACAGCTAAATTGCACAGACTGTAGTACTTTCTTCCACCATTTGTTCAAGACTGCCATCTGATGCTGGCCCTGATGCACTGAACTCAAAAGCAGCAATATGATCCTTAGAGCACTGTATTGTAATACTGATTACAACAGCTATTTTTAAATAACCCGTGGCACACATTTTTCATGGCAGATTTAATTATCAGTTATTTCAGCCTGTCATCATTAATACACCAGTCAGCTTTGGATCCTTCCACTCTTGTTTTGCACTTTACAGTTATGTGTCATGCATGATCTTGTAGTACTTAATTATTCTAATGTTTAAGGTAGTTACAGCTTTCTTATTCTCTTGTGACTGATGCAGTCATCTTGACACAGTGTAAAAAAAATGTGCCTTTTATTACCTACTATCAAGTACCTTGGTGATATGTATGTAAACACACACCTCTTCTGAAAATACACTTTTAGATATAAGTTATGTACCTTTCGTGAAGTCAAAGATTAGATAACTGTATCATATCAGTAGAGCAGATCCACTGGGCCAGATCTCAGAGGAAGTTCTCAAGCTTAGAGCAGTCAGAAATTGTCTGAGAACTGGATATATTGTACAGAGGATTTCTCTTTTAATGTCTGTGGTATGTGTGTAGCTAGGAATCAAAATATTCTAGTAATCTTACTATTTATCACCCTTATTTGGATCAAAACATTAGAAAGAGATCAGCATAAAAATACCTACATTTTTGTCGCTGCAGGAGAGATGGAGAAACATACTCTGACTTTGTTGGTTGTTCACCACCCTGGGCTTGAACTGCATCAAGAAGAGTAGTAAAGGAAATGTGAATGTCTAATTTTCTTGAGTCCCCTCATAATGTCTCAATTTTATCTGTTTAAGTGTGCAACATTCAGTATATCAAAAAAAAAAAAAAATCAAAGACATGTTTATGTACAGGAGGCCAGAAATGCATCAGGTCCCATGCTACATGCAATCATGATGGCCAAACACCACTCCTTCAGCCTTTTCCTTTTTCCACTTTTTGGGTAATAAATTACTGCAGGAAAGCCATCAAAAACATGCCTGTGGTGATTTGAGCAGGTCCTTATTCTGTCACAGTATACCCCTGGACTCCCTTAAAAGCTTTTCAGATACGGACCTAAATTTCTTAAATTTTATGATCACTCCATGCTTTAAGCATCAGTGAAACCTTTTTTGCTAGATAGATGGCTTTCAAATAAGTCCCTTTTGTACATGAAGAATTCACTTTAGGGTTAGAGGACTGATCTTTGTCAAAGCCAAAGTTACTCTGTATTTTATAGCTTCAAGCATTCTTTGCAATAATGCCACAGAAGGAAAATAAATGCAAAGGCCACACCGCACAGAGGGAAATAGGTCTTTTCCAATAATACATTTGTGCCTGTTGATTTTGCCCCAAAGCAAAGAAACCATTTTTCATTCCATTCCACTGCAGCATCAGAATTAGAATATATGCATTATCCAGAGGGGCTTTCAGTGCTGTGTTTAGTGAGAGTTCATGAGAGGGCAGGTTGAGGTGAAGACTGTTCTGGCCAGAGAAAACTGCAAGGGTAGGTTCACCCCCCCTTGGGGTGCACCTCACCAGGGCAGTCTTTGGAGAGGACCACTAGAGGAGCTAAGGCTGAAAGCAGAATTGTGGGGAACTCTGCAAGTACCCTCCTGGGGAAAGAGCTGGGGTTAGAGGACATGTGTCCCTTTTTAATGTAGGAACCATCCAGTGTGTCTGGGCTCCTTCAGTGCCCAGCCTCAGAGAGGTTTTTGCCTCTCTCTCCATGTACTGTGTGGCTCTGTTCTGTCTCATGCCACATGCACTGCAGATCCCTTCTGCCATTGCACGTTTTGCTAATGCTACAGCTAGTCCTGTATTCTTTGACACTACCACTTCTTAACATAAGTTACTATGGAACTGCCTAGAGCAGGTAAAATATGAACTCATACAGCAGGATCTGCACTAGAGATCAAAATGCATTTAAAACTAACATTCTTGTTACCTTAAACTTAAAGGGAAATTATCAGGTGAAAAAAGGTAAAAAACAATGAAGAGGTTTCCATCCATCTGTGACTATTAAGTTCCCTCAGAATATTTATAGCAGTACCATTTGTTTTCAACTCATTGCAAACCAACCTTGTGTGCTAAGCTTTTATGCAACCTCATAAGCAAGAGTAAATTAATTTCTAAAACCTATTGCCTGATAATTTTCAGACAAAATCTTCCCTTTCTTCAATACTGTATCATAACCTGATAAACAGAGTCTTTAATAATTCATGCAGACATACTCCTCAGCTGATTCGTTCCTTTCTAGAGGCACCTTTGCACCTTTTGGTTTGTACATTCAGAAATGCTATACCACCTTAAAGTGGATATTAAAAGCTAAATGCAAATCTTGAGGCATTTTTGTAGACATATAAGTTAAGAGAAAGTTCCACTCAATGCAGTGGAGCTGTTCCAGATTTCAACTGGAGAAAAACAGGATGACAGTTTCAAAAGAGTTAACTTTCTCTTCTTAGGAAAGAAAGTATTTTAAGCAGTAAATAAAATCTTGCATGAAGGTAACAGGTTCATTAACTTCACAAAGCCAAGGGAAAAAAAAATGCTTAAAACTCCAAAGTTATAAATTCTTTAAAACAGTAAAAATGCCAAGCAAGTGAATCTTCCTACCTTTGATCTGTATGAAGACCAGGGCTAATATTGATATCCATAGTGGTATTCGTGTCCCACCACCTTTACCCATCTTCTGGAGGTCCGGTAGAAACTACCGAACAACCTGCCTCTGAGGAAATACCTGTCTGTTCCCAAGTCTTATATAGCGAGAGAGTAGAATTTGGCTCAGTTCCCAGATTGTTTCACAAGGCTCTTAAAAGGTGGGGCTTCAGACATTTTCGTTTTCTTTTGCAGGTGCAGAGGTAAATAGAGGATGCTCTGACTTTCCCTCAGCTATTTACACTCTAGGAGGAGTCTTCTTTCCACATTTTTGATGAAATGTCATTAAGTGAGCAAGAAGAATTTTTGCTTAAGCTTAGTTTTCCCAAATTTTTTGTTTCTTGTGGGATAAACACAATTCAAAAGACTTCTGGGTGACTTTTGAGCAGAAAGTTTGAGAGAATTACTTCACTTTTTTTTTCCCCCCTTCTTCTTAGGGCAAGTGATGATAATTAGCTTCTCAAAAACCTCCTAAGGAGTTCCACCTGATACAATTTTTTACAATTAGTTTGCACCTGCCTATGGAGCTACTTTGCTTGTGAAAATGAAGAAATCAAATGCTATTTAAGGTCAGCAGTTAGCCCACTGGCCAAGCACAAAACACAGGTGTACACAATGAGAATCCTTCTGTATTGGCAAGTCAGTAATGTGGCCCTTTCCTTGGGGGACTCCTCTTCTCCTATGGGCAATTTTAGGGTTATTTCAGCTGTTTACTTTCTGAGTAAGCATGATTTCACCATTAAAAATTAGTTGGATTCTACCTATGATTAAAAAAAAATCCATGTGACTTCTAGCCCTAGAGATATTAAAGGACAGTTATGCAAGAATATTTTGTGGAATATTCTTTATCTTAAGAGCAATGAGGCAGTGAAGAATGCTTTTCAAGTATGTTAAAATAGTCATTTACAGCTATAGTACTTTGGGAAATTAATCTTTTATAGTGTTTTACGCTGGGGTGTAGTGAAACACAGTCTTTCACTAAGAGAGCAGATCCCATAATCCCACACAGGTTCAAACAGTTCCTGCAAGGATGAAGGCACTGGTATAGTCTTTGTACTCTTTGGAGTCCTAGCAATGTTCAAAATGGAATGGAGTTTAGCTATTATGGAGGGATGTTAGAGGTGCATTGAAAAGATAGTGAAATACTCATTTAGGTTGCCTCGGAATACTGTCCAATTGCCATCACTAGGTTAATAAAACATCTACATGGCCTTAGTGCTGTTGATAGTGCTCTGGGGCAAGGGTATTGACTGAATGTCCATTTGAAATTCTCTCAATTCTAATTTTCTATTATGTTTTATGAAAAATTATCATAGAATCATAGAGTTGTAGAATGGTTTGTGTTTGGAAGGGACCTTCAAGATCATCCAATTCCAACCCCCTGTCATGGACAGGGACGCCTTCCACTAGACCATCTTGCGCAGAGCCTTATCAAATCTGGTCTTGGACACTTTCAGGGAATGGAGCATCTGCAACTTCTCTGGGCAACCTGTTCCAGTGTCTCACATGAAAGGAAATTTTCCTAATATCTCATAAGAATCTACTCTCTGTTAGATTTGAAGAAGTAACTCCAACACTAAGAGGGAAATAAAAGGCACAATTTTTACCTGAGCAGCAAACAAAAGCAAGAAATATGCTGGTTGTCCTGAAAATTTTAAGAGTACAACTATTTAAATAAAGGTGACCTAACAAAACTGAACTGGAAGTTTTGAGGGAAAGAATTGTTCAGTTTCAGTTGTGAATTATACCTTTGGCAACTTCATTGATGTGTAAGTCTGTACAATTTACTTAGCATTATTTAACAAGGAAAAGAAGATGGCTACAAGATACTTGTACATACAGAAATACATGCAGTGAAATTTTAAGCAAATATCATTGTCTCTAATGATTATTATCAAAGTTCCAGGATGAAGAGCTAGAAAAAAAAATTAATGGATTTAAATGGTACGTAATTAAAGTAATGATAAAACTCATGTGGGTAACACACATAAGCTGATTAAGAGATTATGTTAGTAAGAAGAAATACATACTTTATGAATCATTGTATTACTTACCACTAAAAATCACTTCATATCAACAGTTGCTATGCTGTGGTTTCATATACATTTCCTGCATGTTCAGGGAAGCATATGATCTCTGAGACATTCCAGTCTGGTCATCACTATTAGGCTGAAACTGGTTTACAGTTCAGTTTAACCTCTTTAATTGAGCTTTAAGGCACCATCAGAGGTGATTCCTTATATCTATATTTTTGACTGGAATTTTCAAATCTTATATATGTAATGAATGAACTATCCTGACACTAAAAAGTGGTTAATTCATTGAGTCTGACATATGACTCTTGCCATATTAAATTACTTATCTTGTGCTGTTTCTTCTCAGAAATTATTATGAAATGTGTTAAAATGTATGAGACTGCAAAAATAATCTAAAATATTTATGATAAATTGATTTTGTAGCATTATTAATTATTCAAAGAAATAATTCCTCTTCAAATTGTATTTCACCTTTTTCACCTTCATTCACTCAATAGACATATACAGGTGATATGGGAGAGGATATTTTAAAAATTAGTTGCGAGTAACATCTGATTTTTGTACCTCATGATCAAATCCATACAATTGACTACATAAATGGAAATATTAATATGTTAGAAGAATTTATTGATGTATCAGCTTTTTTTTTAACAGAAAATATAGAAGATTTTGCCATTGCATTTGATCTGAAAACCCTGAAATTTCTTTCTTTAGTTTCTCTTCCTTTTTCACAGGATCATATTCCTACTCTCTGCAATATTAAATTGAATGAAATATTTCTGTCAAAGAGTTGTTAGCATTTTCAGATGCATTCTTTTTAACCCTATGTGATCAAATGCTACAGAGGGGTGATGTTATTTACATGTTACTCATGATTTCTGAGTCTGCTTCTTCATAAAATAAAATTAGACCATCATATCTTCATAGATACCCACTGTAGAATGCAAATAAAATGTGAGAGCAAACTTGGTTAACTTTTTGGGTGCAATAATGCCTGAAATCAATGTCTCCATTTATAGTTAAAAAAGACAGAATGATGAACTCATAGGGACATGCAAAACGTTGTCTAGTCCACCTGGTGCCGTACTGGAGTAGGGAGTATTCAGTTCAAGGGCAGGAAGAAAGAAACGTGTAACTGACAGGAATTTCAGCACTTCCTCTGTGTGAGGGCTAAAATGCAAGTTAACAAGGCACTGCCTGCTTGATTTTTCTCTGGCTGGTCATTTGGCCACATCTGAAGCCATGTTTAAGCTCCAGAGTGATGCTGGGACACTTGGCATGGAATTCAGCTGAAGTACCATACTGATTGTCCCTGAATTTTGACCTGTGCAAATTCAAATGCATTGTTTTTATCTGAAAGCTTCTACGGAAAAGTGAGGTAACTGATCAATTTCAGCTTAAAAGTTGTTCATGAACATTATAGGTGTTCTCTTATGTGAAGATGAACTACATTTCAATCATCTGCAGTTAAGTATTTCATAGTCTACACAATATAGTCTATCTAAAGTAAAGCTATCCAAAGTTAGTCTAAATTAAAGACTAAAACAGGGATACAACTCCTTTTATGTTCTTTTCTAGTCAAACACAGAGCCATTGATCCATTCCTTTAGTTCCAAATGCTTAGATAAAACTCATTAATTGAAAATCAAATCACATTATAACTGAGATTTTAAGCCTTTTCATTAATATGAATAGTTCTCCTATCTTTTATTGTGTGCATTGTAGAGGAGCATAATGCTCTAACCTCCATTGCAATCTCTATGTTTTACTTAGAAACAAGCAATACGTAGCTTGATTAAGATCTGTTTCTGATCTGTTAATTTCAAAGTTTAAAGTGTCATTTAGAAGAACCCAAGCAAAGCATAACGTTTTAAATCAGGCACTGGAGACTGACAAGCTGCAACATAAGAGGCTGGTTAATACTGATATAATTAGGAAGCAAAAGATATTGAGTATAATATCTCTCATTTTATTTAACCATTATCCTCTGGGAAGCAAATCCATCAGAGAACAACTTAGGGTACTGTATTAAGACTTTCCCCCCATAGGAAGCTAGTAAAGATCCTGTGCAGAGTTAGTAAAGTAAAAACAATGTGCACCCTGTACCATGAGGAGTGTGAACATGGGGGCCAGAGTAGGGTTTCCACGTTTTCTGAACATGTCCAGGATATCTCTGTGTATAAAGGGGATAAACACTTAAGCCTCTTTACAGTTTGTAAACACAGACACCACAATCGTGCATGCCAATATTTGCAATTGGTATTATGGACTAAAAAACTGATGTACACACACATACTGGAGGGCATATTTGCATTGTGCAGTGGTGCATGTTGCAAAGATCCCTCAGCTAGCAGCTGCCAAGGTAAATTCATAATAGGAAATATTGTCACTGCATCGACATGAAGTTGCACCTAAGAGAATTTGCTTTTTTCTGAGGCGCTGACACTGCAACATTGTGTTTGGGATCAGAGCTCTGCCTAGACCTATGCAATGCCATAGGGCCATTGCCGCATTGTGTACAGCCAGCTGAAAGCTGAGGTCTGTGATACAGTGCCTTAGTGACCCAAATCAAAAATCAGTCTTTAGAAGCAATTGGTGTTTGCATGCTCAGAGAAGAAAATGGTACAACTAGTCAAAAAGTGGGTGAAATGGAGGGCTATGCTGAGCAGTATCTATAAACTCTCAAAGGAACCTGTTGGTGATGCACAAGCTCAAAAAAATCTAAGTTAATATACTGTGGTGAACATAATTCTGCTGAATGACAATTTGTTTGTTTGTATTAAGATATACTAAAGATTGCATATAAGTGGAGATATATATATATATATATATATATATATATATAAAGTTTTACCACTAGCAAGTTTTGTCAGAAGTTCTATTATAAGACCCTTGAGTATAGTCCCTTATCTTAAATCAGTAGCAGACATTCTTATTTAAAAAAAAAAATGCATGGAGGATATATATAATTAAATGCATACAAGCAAGGACAAACATGGAAAAAGAAACAAAATCCTTTGGTCCA